AAGGGCTCGGCTCTTTGTCAAGGATCCTGCTCCAGAGCTCCCTTCTGATGTTGTCTTTCTTATGTCAAAACCTCAGGTTTTGTGTGGCAGAGCACTGACAGGACATAATTAGGCTGCTTTTCCTGGTCACTGGTTACACCAGAATCAACAGAGAAGTCCAATATTCTTTCTCTGGGTGCACCACAGCTGCTGGTCCCACATCAGTCTCGATTCTCGAGGCACGTGTTTTTTTGGATTTCTAGGGTCTACGGTCGACTGTGTTGAAGGTCAGCTCCTCAACCCATCTTCTGTGACCGACACCAAAAACTGCGGCCCCCAAAGCACATCCCAAGGAGCCGCCAGAGGAGGTGGCAGAAGCAGCAGATCTTTCTCCCGCAAATTCTCCAGGCCGTGAGGGTTTGGCCAGGGTCAGAAGTTTAGGCTTGCAGGAAAATAGGTCAGGCAGGTTAGGCTCGGTCTTGTGGCTTCGGGCCAAGGCTACACGCCCCAGTTTAGCGTCTCGCGTGTACATGTTGAGGTCGGGAGAACTAGTCATAGAAGCCTCTCATAGTCCTTGCATGCGTGTACTATTAACTATACAATGTACCCCACACCGTTCTGATAAGTACAGGGAGGCCCTGTTAAAAAGTACATCAAGTGACCTTGCATTTGGGCGCGCACGCTGCAAGCAGGAGCAGGAGCAGGAGCAGGAGCAGGAGCAGGAGCAGGAGTAGCAGTAGCAGTAGCAGTAGCAGTAGCAGTAGCAGTAGCAGTAGCAGTAGCAGTAGCAGTAGCAGTAGCAGTAGCAGTAGCAGTAGGAGTAGGAGTAGGAGTAGGAGCAGGAGTAGGAGTAGGAGTAGGAGTAGGAGTAGGAGTAGGAGTAGGAGTAGGAGTAGGAGTAGGAGTAGGAGTAGGGGTAGGAGTAGGAGTAGGAGTAGGAGTAGGAGTAGGAGTAGGAGTAGGAGTAGGAGTAGGAGTAGGAGTAGGAGTAGGAGTAGGAGTAGGAGTAGGAGTAGGAGTAGGAGTGGGAGTAGGAGTGGGAGTGGGAGTAGGAGTAGGAGTAGGAGTAGGAGTAGGAGTAGGAGTAGGAGTAGGAGTAGTAGTAGTAGTAGTAGTAGCACTAGCCTGAGCAGCAGCAGTTGCAGTGTCAGTAGTATCAGAAGTGTCAGTTTTGTTGGTTTAATTTTCGATTTTATTATTGTCAATAATAATAGTTATTATTATCATTATTAGTAGTAGTAGAAGTAGTAGTAGTAGTAGAAGAAGAAGTGGCTGCTTCTGCTGCTGCTGCTGCTGCTGCTGCTGCTGCAGCATTCATGGCAATAGAGGTCAATAAGAATATATCACTGCTTGAAATCTCGTCATCATCACCATCAGTATCATGAGAATGACGCTGGCAACAACCATGATGGTGAGGGGTGCTGTTGATGTGTCTTCGTGCAGTGTGGTGTATTCTACCCCTGGGCCCCGAAGTAGTTCCTTTCTGGGATTACCTTATAGGATTCTAAATATGAGCCGCAAAAGGAGCTACTATGGGGCCTTAGGGTACCCAGAGATCCCAGTACCCCTTAATTAAGGAATGTACCTTAAATACTAGGGGCCTTAATCTTATGGTTTAGAAAGGGACCCCACCCTGTAATAGTCGTATAATAGGAATAAATAGGGCCCTAATATAACCCTTATAGTCACTATTACAGGGCCCCTTCTAAATTATGGTTTAAGACGTGGAAGTGATCGCTTCTAGGCGCTTCAGCGTCGGTCTCGGGCCTGTCGGCAAGATCGAGGCACACCCTGGATGCCCGTTAGGCATCAAACTTCAAGGATTCACATGAGGGCCGTAATAAGTCAAATTATTAACAAATATAGTACAATGGTCCCCGAAACCCGATTCTAACTATTAAGGCTCCCATATTAACTTTTGAAGGGTTGGGGCTCCAGTTTTGGGGGCGTCGGCACTTGTGGTTCGATGCTCGGGATTCCGCGTCCGGGTTTCGGGCTTCAGGCTGGTTGTTTTTCGTCTCACAAGGTCTTTCATGCCAAGTTTGGTTGGGAAGCAAGCTACATATACCTCCCTAAACCCTGAACCCTATGGCTTAGAGGGCGTAGGAGTTCCATTCTCGCCTGCTGGTCCGGGTTGGGGAAGAGGCCTTGCCTTTCGACTAAACCCAGTGGCGAGTTGCCTGTCCGGATCGCTCCGCCGGCCCCTTCCGCAGCAAAGTAGGTAAGATTTGGGGATGATGTTGGTGCTGGCCAAGCAGTTCTTGCCATCACCTACAACAAGAAGGCAGAAGCTGTCCATCAGCTTTCCGGGCAAGAGACGATCTGATGGGACCCAGTGGCGGAGGAAGTCGAAACCAAACTGCTTGCATCCTCCTCTGATACCGTCGAGCTGGAGCACGACAGCACGAGACCACAGCCACGAGAAGCAGCGGTTGGAGGAGCTCGGCGTCAGATCTGCGGCCGGGTACATATTGGTAATTATGAAGGCCCCTATATTCTATAGACCCCGTTAAAGGAACCCTTTAGGTAATTATTGAGGCCCCTATATTACGAGCCAGGCATGTTTGCGGCTTCGAGCTGCTTGGAATCGTTCTGTCGCCTTTCCGGCCGTCGACGAAGGTGACGAGGGCATGTCCCTGACACAGTCTGGGCTCTTGTTATAAGGGAGTTCATTTAAGTTACCATAATAAAAGACATCTTATCGACTATAGACCCTATAAGGGAGTTGTGTAATTAAGTTTCCATAACAAAGAAACCATCTTATTTACTATAGATCCGGTAACTTAAACTAATTTCCTCAACAAGAACCCAGCATTGTGGTGGATTGCCTCGGCATCTTCCTTACCTTGCCGGTCAGGCTTCGCGAGCGCGTACCCAGCCTCGGGTGGAAGTTTTCAGCATATCCTGCTGAGTGTTTCCACTCGAGGCATAGTCCGGCGGCAAGGAGTAGAGTATAGTATAGCTGCCCTAAGGGTCCATGTACCCAACTAGTATATACTGTGGGCACATGGACCCATATGGTTAGTTTCTTGCTCAGCTCTGCATGTGGGCCACGTGCGAAGCAAATCGACGAGGCGTTCAGGTGCACCGTGCTGGCCGGACGCGCCTCATGTAAATGCTATGAAACAGTTTTTGTGCTGTCAGTAATACTATCATTCGGTTCGCCCTATGATGTGACTGCCGAACTGGTGGAGCTCTTGCTGCTTCGGTCGGTGTCAAACCTGGTTGCATCGAGCACGCTTGGATCAGCAGGCACCTGCGAGACTCCGGCGGGAAAATAGGGCCAATAGGGTTTGGGCTTCAGGTACCCAGAGATCCCAATTCCCCTTAATTCAGGAATATACCTTAAATCATCTAATATAAAGCCCCCTACTAGTATTTCAGGTATATTCCTCAATCAAGGGGTCCTTTTGCATGGGCTCTCTGGGTACAAACTCCAGAGCATTAAGTCGGTGTTGGAAGAGGGCAACACGTGGGTACCAGTACCTTTCGGGCTGTGGCGCTGGCCACCTGAAGTCATCGTGACTGTCGAAGACACCGCGGAATATTGCGAAGTGTTTTTGACACTCACGATTGATGCAAGTGAACTGACATTATGACGTTCAGCAGTTGACGTCACGTTTTGTCGCAGGCGCGTGCCTGCTGTTCCAAGGGGCCGCGGCACAGCCGCATGTGAAGAAGGCTATCGATGTAAAAAGTTCCATGGGTTGCGATGTTGAGGTGTGAAGTCGAGTTGCAACTATTTGTGCTCGATGCCTGCACATGTCATACTTCCACATCGACACTCAGAGCAACGGCATCCTGGTCATGCCACAGACGAATAAGAATACACCACCATAGTGGAGTAGGCAGGCAAGATGCAGACAGGCAGGTAGGTAGCAACAAAGGCAGCAGTGGCAGTAGCTGTGCTGTTCCTCCTGCTTTTCGATGTTCGAAGCGAAAAAATGCCCCTGCACATTGGCGGCAGAAATACGTGAAATCCCGACATGTGTTGAGAAAGTGCGAAAAGTGTACCCATAAAGAGGGAATCCGAATCCTAACTGTCAAGAAACCATAAAACCAAAACCAACCGCTTGCAGGTCGGAGAGGATCCTCGGTTCGAGACGGGAAGGCAGGGTGGCTCGGAGCCGTTTTGAAGACTGGGTTTGAGGCTTTAGGGTTTGAGGGTTTAGGGTTTTGGGGATTAGGGGTCTGGGGTTTAGGGCCTGGGGTGTAGGCGTCTGGGGTTTGGGCTGTGGGGTTTTAGGACGAGTGTTAGTGGTGTTGGGCATTGACAGTTCAGGGTTTGGGGCCCGATTGGGCTGGGGATTGATCAGTGCGGGGCTTAGGTTGTGTGTCGTTTGGATGGTTTTGGATGTAAGAGCTTCGAAGACTCATCATCGGCTTAGGGTGTTTACTTATTGTGTGTAGTGTTGTAGTGTCCAGTATGTGCGGCCCTGAGTACCAATACGATAATAATGCGATCAACAACAGATGGACAGATGTGCACCTGCACTCATGCGTAGTAGTAGTAGTAGTAGTAGTAGTAGTAGTAGTAGTAGTAGTAGTAGTAGTAGTAGTAGTAGTAGCATGGCCCCTATAAAATCCCCAACCTTTAGTTCCCCATGATACCCGACAAGTAGGTATCGCCTTTGGCTTGTCGACCTCCCCATTCCACCTCGACGGTGCCGAGAAAGTCTCAGCATCTTCGGAAGTGCTAGTCTGCTAGAGTCAAATTGCAGTTGTACTGTTGATGGACAAATCCTGCATGACCCTAAGGGCTCTAAACTATGGGAACTATGGTATATTCCTTATAAAGGGTAATGCAGGATTTTGTCCATCAACAGTATGTCGTGTTTCAACTCTAGCTGTGCCCCTGAACCCAGATCGCAAAGCGATCATCCGGGAAGTGACTAGATGGAAATTACATGAGTTCTCGGTGTAGTAACTCCCCACCTCCTTTTGTTGGCTGGATGCCTGGCTTGGCAGATTCTTTGTGGGAGTGGCGTTTGCTGCATCGCGTTTGATCTCTGCACCTGTCGATGATTAACCTCGTTTTCTCAGAGCTGTCCAGGCCCCAAAATGCCCTCAAGACGTGAAGCAAAAAATCCAGTACCCAACTCCCCAAACCCTAAACCTCAAGCCGTTGCACATGAAGCAGTCTTCTGTCGCATCGGGCTCCAGTAGCTTAATTCGGGGGATGCGGCGCAACTGGCAAAAGCCACAGTCGCCGCTCAATCTCCCTGGTCGCCTGTTTTAGGGCGGCGCCTTGCACTAGCTAATGGCAACAGTAGTGATTTTGATAAGCTAGTAGCAGTAGAGTATAGACTAACCTCGTACTAATCCTATAGAAGGCTATGCCTCAGAAGCTCTTTCGTCGGCTCTGGAGTTTAGGATTGGAGTTAGAGTTCAGCTTTTAATCGGTCATGCCTTTTTCGCAGAGTGCTTTTCCTGAGTTGGTCTGATTTCTCCGGGTTGCCAGCAGCGGCGGTTGTCCATAGCCCAAGATGCAAACCCGCATCTCAATTCATGTCGCCCTGCTGAGTGGCCAATCAGTTTGCATCTAGGTGGCAATTTGGGAAACTTTTTAATTTCCCTTATGGTTCCTATAGAGGTACCTATTCTTTCCCTTATGGTTCCTATAGAGGTACCTATTCATAAATACTTATCAGAGCCCCAAAACTACATCCCAGGCATAGTATCCGAACTGCAATGGACCATCGGAGACCTGAGGCCTCGGCAGGGAGGGACAGCCCAGAGCCTCCAAAACCCCTTAATTAAGGAATATACCTCAAATTATAATAGGATCCCTTATATGATTTGAGGTATATTCCTTAATTAAGGGGTTTTGGAGGCTCTGGGAGGTTGCTTCAAGCCTTGAGGGGCAGCTGTGGATTCTAAGCTAAAAACCGGACCTTACTGGGCAGCGAAGCATCGCAGCATGATGCAACAGCCGGAGTGAATCGCAGCGCATGTTGGGCGCCAAGCATGCAAAGTAGGATCTTTACAAGACTACCCCAAAGCCCCCGAGATTCTCCTACGGACAGTTCAGGGGAATGCATGGGTCTGCATCACTAGTTTAAAATGTACCGGTATCCATCTGTAGCCCAGACAAAGCTCATCTTTGCTACAATATGTGTGTGTATACATATAGTTGTACACATACATACCCCGACACCCACTTTAAGGTATTTGGGCCCCTGCTGCATCACTCGGTGTTAAGGTTTTAGGCTTTGGGGCCCAGCAGTGCCCTACACCGAACCTTGCATAAACCAGGAATCTGTAAAAGCCCTACTAAACCCAAGATTCTGAAACATATTTGATTAAACCAGGAGATCAGTAAAGACCCTACTGAGCCCTAAACTCTAAAAGCAATCTCTTAAACAGGTCCCGGGTGGCCGAGCATTGGGGAAGCCGAATCAGTTCCATAGCGGCTGCCGGTGGCCTCCAGCTGAAGCACAAGTGGACGTTGCTGGGATCTTCCTTTCGGAGCTAGGGCCGTTTGGTGTTTAGGGGGTGTAGGGTTTAGGGTTTAGGGTTTGGGTTTTTTGGGGTTTAGGGTTCAGGGTTTAGGGCTTTTGGGGTTTAGGGTTTAGGGGTTTAGGGTTTAGGGGTAGTTCGGAGTTCAGGACCTGAGCTATACATGGGCTTTCTAGGGTCTGCGGCTTATGGGGTAGCTAGTTCTTTCGGACCCAGGCTATGTCCAGGTTTTACAGATCTTCGGTTTGGCAGTCACAGCAACCCGATCACAACTAAGCGTGACGCGGTATAAACAAGAATATTCACCATCGTACCAATCCGAAACGAGACTCGACAGATGCGACACCCTCAGACCTAGCCCGAAGCAGAAAGTCACCAACAGCGAACCTTGTGGCATCCCTTCACAGCTTCTTGCAAGATCGTGTAGAGTCGCCTGGAACCCACTCCAGGCTTTTCCGCTCGAAAGCCTGTAAAACCCTGTAGCAGATTTTAGCCCATGTTTATGATGATTGGCTTTTGTTATAGTCGTTGTTATCACAGTTGTTGCGGTGGCTAGGATTGTCGCCAGCATTGCCATACCTGCTATGACTGCTTCTGGTAAACCCTTAACCCCAGACCTTCCTACTATGACGTCAAGGCGAAGCAGCAGTATGACTACTCTAAGCCCGCCTTAAGCCCAAAATCCGGAGCCTGCTGGCTACAACTTTAATCCTCATGTATTTACATGGTATACACTCTGGCCTAAAGTAGTCCCTATATAGGTACTATGATTGCGTTGGTTGGATCCGAAACCCTCAACCTTCCAACTACTGCTGTGTCTTTCGTAAACCCGAAACCTAAAGCTTTGCCCTTAACTCTCAACCTTCTTACTTCCGGCCAGGACCTGTTTTTGAACATCTCAGCTTCTACTGCTGAAACCCCTCAAAACCCGTAGACTCGCGATCCCTCTACCCGTAGCCCTGCTAGCACACCCTAAAGTCCCTAAAGGGGGCTCTATGGCATCCCTTGATAAGGCCTGTATGAGGTTGGTGTAGAACTATTGCAATTTGCAAGTCGCAAACCCCCTACAGTAAAGTTCCGCTTGCCGAAGACCATATAATTGTTATTACGATTATTACGAATATTTGTACCAGTATTAGGATTTGAAATTATAACTACTAGTATTATATAATAGGAATCCTTTAGTAAAGGATTCCTGCTATATATTACTAGTAGTTATAATTTCTATTCCTAATACATTTAGTCTGCTGTGCAGAGTCCCAAAAAGCTTAGGTTGGAGGCCGCCGGGCTGAAGGACGGCGACACCGTCTTTGCGACCCTCCGGCGCCCGGCGCTCTACTCGAGCCCAGGCTTCTTGCCAACTAGGTAGGCCTTTGGGACATTTTTTTATTTTCGTTTATTGGGCCTAATAGGACCCTATCTACGAATATTTTTCAGAGGCTTCAAAGGGCCAACCTTGCCAAGTCTTCTGAAGGTTTTGGGCTTTAGGGTTTCGGCTTGAAGGGTTTAGAGGTTTAGTTTACTTAGGGCTTGTATAATTAATAGTATACATATATATATACATATATATATATAGATTTATGTAGATATGTATTATACATAATATTTGTATGTTACATACAGCAATATAGCTGTAAACGGTGTAAAGAGAAGTCCAGAGCAGCAATCCCTACGTAGAACCTCGATTCCCACTCCCGAGGGGCATCGGCCGTCGCCCTCGTTCACAGCGACGGCTCGGTCAGGGCACCTCGGACGGAGCTTGGCGTTGGGGGTTTCGGGATTTTTGCAGTTTGGGACTAGGGCTTACAGGTCCAGGTTTTTTATTTGAGGGTTTCGGGTCGAGGGTGTGGTGAAGCATGGCAGAGCCGGGCCGAAGCTGAGGACCCTGGAATGGACGCCAAGATGAAGACAGGAACCAACATACTGAGCATATCTGACCCTCCTGCGGGTCTGCACGACAGGCTTCTTCATAAGGGACCCCTTATCCATCACATTTAGGCAACAGCAGCCGCCATAAGGAAACCGAGGGCCGGGGGGTTCCTCAAAGCAAGGGGCTAGGATCCGGACCCCCCAAAAGCTCTAAAGCCAAATACCTTCTTGGAAGCTTATAGGCCCCAGGCCCTACGTCAAAAAAACCCAGACCAACCCAAACCCTATAAATCCTAAACTTCCTAAACCCTGTAACCCCATGAAGCCCGGACCCTAAACATTGGTGCAAGCAGGTTTGGGGCGATTCGGCCTATGGTGGCGACTGCAGCGCTGTCCAAGAGAAGCTCCGGGATGCGCCTTTTGCAGGTTTAAGGTTAGGGTTTGATTTGGGGTTTGGGTTTCGGAGTTGGGGGTTTCGGGTTAAGGATTTGGTGATTTGGGGTTTGGGTTTGGTGCTTGCTGGGGGTTCTGGATTTGGGGTTTGGGTTTTGGTGCTTGGGGAAACTTGTTGATGTCTTGAAGCTTGAAAAGTCCAAAAGGAGGGAGCTTTTGGCGTCATGGCATATCACAGCGGTGTTTTAGTGTCAAATCACACACCATTGTTAGGGGTGAGGGGCTAGGGGTTCCGGGGTGTGGGTTGAGGGCTTAGGGCCATGAGTGGTTGAGGGCCGTTGAGGGTGTACACCTTGCCCGCCTCACCCTTGCAGAATGCGTAGTCGCTTCTCCGAATCTTCCAGTGTAACTCTAGGGAGTTTCAACAGCCGATTTTTGCTTAAAGAAGTCCATCCGCATATCTGAACCCTGAAGCCGTAAATGCTTACACACCTCAGCCGCTGATAAAGCCTATAAACCTTATAAGGCCAACAGATTGCAAGCCTCTCAAGACCCGTATAAAGCTTATAAGCCCGAATCCATCCTAAACCGTAAACCTTATAAGACTCGAAGCCTTGCAACCCCTTCAACCCTCTCAGCTGAACAAACCTTACAAGCCCATGCCCTTTTATACCCCAAGCGGACCCTACAAATCATGGAAGCCAGAGAACCCAATAGCCCCTAATTAAGGAATATACCTTAAATTATAGAGGCCTTAACATTATGATTTGAGGTGTATTCTTTGATGCAGGGGTATTGGGATCTCTAGGAATTAAGCCCCCCCCCCCCCCCCACAGAAATCGACCCACAAGCAGGTCCAGGAAGTGAGGGTGAGTACTGGCGCCTGTGCCGCCATTCTCGCCGACGGGAGTGTGGCTTTGATCCTGTTTAGGGTTTAGGGTAGAGCTTACCCTCTTTGGGTTTAGGATCCCGGAAGATTCCGAATTGCCCCGCAAATCCACGTATCTTTCCAAAGGTGGTGACTTGGGGGGACGACCTGTCCGGCGGGGACAGCGCGGCCGTCCAGGAGTAGTGATACGTTCAATTTTCGGGTTGGGGTTCGCGGTCTATTTGCGGATTTCTGGTTCGGTTTGTGTTGAAGCCGTCTATAACCTGGGTGCCCTAGGCTGGTGTTGAGCCGGCGAGAGGTGGTAAATAGGTCGTGTTTCCATCCTTCGCCAACCAACCGACGTCACAGAAATCGCAATGATTCGTGCTTGATGTTGGTGTTCCGGTCGAAATGCTTTGCTCGTCCTCCAATATCAGATTCTGCTCAGCTGCGGTTCTAATTGCTTCGCTGCTATTCTATGTTTACAGCAGAGGCCTAGTAGTCGAGTAGGTAGCCTTTAACCTGTTTGGGTAGTATAGTCCCTATATAATCCCTCTATAACCCAAAAAGGTTAACCTTTAGTTCCCCATGACACCCGGCAAGTAGGGAGGGGTGCAGCCAAGCCCAGCCGAAGGAGAAGCTACAGGATGTGGTCGAGCTCTTTGCCTTTCGCTGCGCCTTCGCTGCGATCCTCGCGGATGGCAGCGTGGTTAGTTGCTGGGTTCTTGTTGAGGAACTTACTAGTAATTAGGTTAAGTAAGTCACCATGATGGCGATCTACAGTGGGCAACATGGTCTCATTGCTCTTATCATGATATTCAAGTTTTGTTACTTACTGATATGCATATCCTTCTTATTTCGGCTGTTACTATTACTAGTATTATTGACGATTGATTATCGGTTATGTTTGTTCTATTTCTTCTGAGTGTTATAGTTGGGTCACATTTTACATTTTTATGGGTACCTAAGCCCCAATAAGGAATAAGAGTCAAAATTTTTAATCCTATCCCAACCATGAACTAGAGAATGGTCTTAACAAGAACTCAGGTTGGGGCGAGGCGGCTTCAAGGGGAGACAGCCGGACGATCGAGGCACAGCTCAGAAACGTCCAGGTGGGACTTTCCTCCAAGAAGCGTTGTTTTTGCAGCCTGTAATGTAGGGGCCTTAATAATTACCTATACTATTTTGGGTTTGGGGGGGTCCTTACTATAAGATGGTATAATGGACCGCAAAACCCTCGTCACATTATTGAGGCCCTTATAGTATAGCTCAAGCTCCGTTCTTTCTGGGCGCTTACTGTGTAGAGAATATAGGGTAATGTTGGACTCTGTGCCAGGTGATCAGTGCGACGAGATCTGCCTTTGCTGCACTGCTCACAGATGGGAGCGTGGTAGCCTGGGGCGATGTGGCCTGTGGTGGTGACGCTCGCCATGTGCAGGAGCGCCTCACAAATGTCCGACACATCGAGGCCTCTGAAAGGGCCTTTGCTGCGATCCTGGCTGACGGAGGCATCGTCACCTGGGGCGACGCAGCATCGGGCGGGGATTCTTCCAAGGTGCAGCACTCTTTAAAGGCCGTGCTGCGCCTGAAGGCTTCAGATGCCGCCTTTGCTGCCCTACTATCGAATCTTAGGCGCACTTAGAAATAATTTTCAAGTTTTGGTTATAATAATCCTAATTTTCAATTTTTGGTTGTTATAATTTTGATAGGGTTCTAAGTTCAGTATAGGAATGGTCGGGTGGTTACCTGGGGAGATCCCGGCTGCGGCGGAGATAGTTCTGCTGTCTTCGATAGCCTCGAGGACGTGCAGCACATCGAAGTCTCCTCTCGCGCTTTCGCAGCCGTGCGCGCAGGACCTGTGTGTATATTATAGTAGCTACGAGAATGTACGAGATGTACAAGTATGTAAGTATGTACCTATATCATGCTTATGCTTAAAGACTACCATGGACCCGGTGTAAACTCTGACATTCCGTTTACAATATCAGGGAGAAGTTGCAGCCTTGGGGACGGAATCAAAGGAGGCACCCTCTAGCCCTAACACGTCGACCCCTTAACCCTGAGACTTTCCTTCCTAATTCCTGTAAACCATTTATCATAAACCCTTATAAGCACTACACCCCTACAAGCCCCTGTAAACCCCCGAACACCCCGCCCTCCTAGATGGCAGCGTGGTTACTTGGGGAGATGCGATGTTTGGTGGAGACAGCCATGGTGTGCAGCACCAGCTCATGAAGGTCCGGCCGGGTAGTGCAGAGTTCCTGTCGGCAAAGCATACTCTATGTAGCCGTAGGCTCCATCGCAGTTCCTTTCCAGGATGGCCTTACATGATCCTAAATACCCGCAAAAAGCAGTCATCAGACAATCCGAGCGAGAGCGATGCCTGGTTTATAGGGTTTAGGGCCTAGTGGTTTGGATTTAGAGTCTAAGGTTTAGCCCGAAAGCCTGAACCCCTAAACCCTAAAACCCTAAACCCCTAAACCCCCGGAACCCTAAACCCTAAACCCCCGGAGCCCTAAACCCTAAACCCCTAAAGCATAAACCCCTATAAACCCCAAAGTTCCCAAAGTTCCCCAAGCAGGTCCAGCAGGTCCAAGCCTCAAGGGCCGCCTTCGGCGCTTTGCTGGCGGACGGCGGGGTGGTCACCTGGGGTAGCCCATGGCCCTGGCAGCCGGGCTTGAAGGTTTAGGGGTTTAGGGTTTAGGGGTTTAGGGTTTAGGGTTTAGGGGTTTAGGGGTTTAGGGTTTAGGGGTTTAGGGGTTTAGGGTTTAGGGTTTAGGGGTTTAGGGTTTAGGGGTTTATATATGGGTGCTTGTCAATATTAGGGTCCCTTTTTGGGTCCTTACTATAATACAGCACCTAATATTTAGGGTATCCAAAAAGGGACCCTAACATTGACAACCACCCATATAGGTTCTGGGGTTTTAGTTTTTAGTGGCATTGGGTTTTAGGTTTTATAGGCTTTTGGCAGCCAGGCTTCGAGGTTCCTTTGTAAGGTTTAGGTTTTAAGTTTTATTTGCTTTGGGTTTTAGGTGTTCAGGGGTTTGGGGGTTTTGGGTGTTATAGGCTTTGGGGGTCCAGGTTTTAGGGTTTGGTGTTAGGGTTCAGGGTTTATTTGTTCCTAAAGGCCTGAGTCTTACACCCTTCTAGACCCCTTCAAGGAACCCTTTAAAGGGTTTAGGGTTTAGGGAGGGTTTCTATGAGGGATTTGCAAGGGGTCTTGAGGATTTTTTGATAAGTGATCTTAAAGACTTCCACTCCCCTAGGGGTCCTATAGGGCTCTAAGGTGATAGGGTTCCTTTGAGGATTCTGTTCAGGGTTCCTTGAAAGGTTCCTGTTAAGGGCTTGTTGGAGGGCGCTGTAGGGCTTTAGGGTTTTAGGGTTCCTTTGAGGATTCTGCTACAGGGTTCCTTCAGGGGGTCAGTTACGGCTTCTTATCAGGGATCTGTGAGGCTTTCTATTCCGGCTCGTACGGGTGGTGCCTGGGAGCGCGACTTCTCGCTCGCCTGAAAACCTAAGGATCTATGAAGCCTTCTATAAAGGATTCGAAGGCTTCCCTAAGGATCTCAAGCGCTTCTATGAGCCATCCTTTTGAGTTTCTTTCAGGGATCTATGAGGCTTCGGGAGTCTGGAGTCTGTAGGGTTGAGGACTTTATAGTGTTGAGAGGTTATCGGGCCACAGAGGTTGCACGGGAGTGGGGGAATGTCGTGGCTCTAGCTTTGTCGTCAGGACCCATCAGTTGTGATGGGTTTCTCCCATGGTGTTCATTCTGCCTGTTCGTGGAAATTTAGGGCTAAACGGCTAAACCCTAAAAACTAACAGCAACTAAACCCTAAACCCCAAACCCTAAACCCTAAACCCTACGGAAGTTTAAAGAAAAAACACCCTACGGAAGCCCTAAACCGTGGCTTTGCCCGCGCCCAGGTTCGGCTCCCGAAGTGCCGCGGTGCGCGAACACTTGCAGGATGTCATGCAGATACAGGTGGCGCAGGGCACAGGGTCCCCAGAACCCCTATTCGAACCCTTAAAAAGTAGGTATATAGAATAATGGCAACACACCCATAAAAAAACGCTATTGTTTTTTCTTCATACTTCGAAGAAGGCTTCGTGGTTTGTTAGACCATGACTTTGTTGGAAACCTGAAGGATCCGGTTATAAGACCTGAAAGATGAAACATGGTGCACGGACATACAGTTTGGTGTGGCTGTCTGTTTCTTGATAAGCCAATTCTCCCTCCCTCCCTCCCTCGCTCCACCCTATCCCTACCCCTACCAACACCCACACCCGCTGGTGTCACTGCTGCTGCTGCTGCTGTTGCTAGCATCCGAATGACCACCTTTGTCATCGTCGGTTCATCGCGTGGATACTTGTAGCGAGGGCACGCTGACACGAATAGCACGCAGACTAACTAGCAACATCGACATCGCTAAGCCTTCATATCCAATGGCAATATCTCTCGTGCTGTTGCCCTCTGCTCTTAGCAGTCCCCGCAAGTCTCTCATGTCTTGCTTTGCCGCAATCTGTGTGGTGCTGTCATACAAGTAGGGTCCTGCTGCGTCGATTCCATGTTCGCGCCCCTTACTAGCTCAGTCTCGCCCCGTTTGGTCAATAATCACGTTTGTAACAATATGAAACCCTTGGTAGTGATAGCCAAGGTAGTTGCAGTCGTAATGCTGATATGACAGAGTATTGGTGCGGATCCGGATAATGATGCCAGTAAAGGGATAGTGACAGCAGCGTTTTCGTCTTCGACTGAGTAGGAGTTACAGTTCATTAGCAACTGCAAGCCATGAGCCCAGAGAGGTACCCTAAGCCATGACATCGGCAACAGTAGCAACTCAAACCGTAAACCCTTTCGTGAAGGCTTTCCGCCTGGGCTTCGCGGCGCTTCGATCGGATGGACAGGTTGTGATTTGGGGAGCCGGTGGCCTGGCTGCTGTTCGGGCTTAGTTAGTGGCTATACTTTTTACTTTACAGGGATCGTGTTTGGGGTTTAATTATTTAGGGTTTAGGGATTTGGGGAGCCGGTGGTAACACATGGTCTCCGTGCTTGTCTGTACAGTTAGAATTAGAAGCTGATATAACATAGAAGCCTCAACAGTTACCAATATTTGTCCTCAGAGTTCCTTCTTGTAATTACGCGACAAAGGAGTCGAGAATCTTTTTCTGCATTACAGGAAGTCTTGTGGCAGAGCTTCGGCTTGCATAGGGTTTAGGCTGCAGTGTTTGTTTCAGGAGCCGATCAGCAATCGAATGAACTTCAGGTTGGAATTACCCACAGGCCCCAAAGTAGTTCCTTTTTGGGATTAACTTCAAGGATTCTAAATATGAACCCCAAGAAGGAACTACTTTGGGGCCTTAAGGTAGAGCTTCTGCTCTGCAGATTATTTGCGGTCTAAGCTCAACGCTGGTCTTTCGCAGCATCTTCGCGAAAAGGGGTGTCTACAAGAACCCCAGCAGCCCACCTTAGTAGCTGAGTGTGTACACTTTACACTTTTTCGGATAATACTACCCACTATAAAACTACAAGTGTACACTTTTGGGGGCTTATGAACTGAGCAGCTAAGCCACAGACGCGGTAAGAGACAGGTCTTGCTTGAAGAGTGCAGAGGAGGAGCTGATTCTCAGCATCCGAGTCTGATAACAACCTGAGGGTCCAAGTACCCAACTATCAGAATCTCCAAAATAGTAGCCTACGTAACTACTATCCCAAACCCGAGTATCTAATTATTGGGTGCTTTGGACCCTCAGGGACAGATTCTCCAAAATTTCAGAAACCCTAAACCGGTAGCGTAGTTGACTCTTTCGGAGCAGACCCTGCGGTCTCAGGTAATCCTTGCATCGGCGACCTGCCTCGAGAAGAGCTACGTGGATCAACAGATATTTCTGTTTTTCGCTGATTTGGGAAGTTCCGAAAATCAGGGGCACCTGATTTTTGGGGTCCTTGTAATAAGGACCCTACTACTTAGCGTGCTATTTCAGGGTCCCCTGTTTTCGGAAACCTCCATATGATCCCATCGGGTTCGGCGTGGCTTCAAGCACCTTGAGGAGCGAAGACATTTCAGGCGTCCTTGTAAGCACGCCGGTGCTGACTATTCAGGCTCCTGTGTATAGTGACTCTTTGCTAGGTAGGGCTTTGGGACATTTTATATTTTCCCTTATTGGGCTTAAGAGGATCTTATTTACTAATATTTTTCAAAGGCTTTAAAAGCCCCACCTAGTTTGCTATTGCAAGGTTTCGCCACTTTGCCAGCACGCGCCGAGCTTGCTTGCGGGCAGCTGGGCCAGCTGATGAGCACGGCAGCGCAGCCGAGGTACGTTGACATGGTTCAGGATACATAGGACATATATAGGTAAGGTAAGGGTCAAGTGGGCTAGGTCGTTCGGATTAGGTTAGATGCCGAGGCATGTAATTATAGGGCGTGGGCTTTTCAGGCTTTCAAGGTTTTATGCGGCTTAACTGGGCAGTATGGGGTGATTCGATGGTTTTTGGGCTCCGAACGGAAGCCCCTTGTTGCAACTTTGCCGGACCTCCGTCCAGCAAGCGACAAAAGCTGAAATGCAAAGAGTGCACCTGATGAAATCCGCTCCGGTTTGTTCGCCTTCCTTAGCAAGGGCTTTAATCGGGAACCTATCACTGAATATAGCAAACCCCGAAAAGTTGGAAACCGGGATAAAGTACAAGTAGTGCTGGGATTTCCAATACATTAATCAATCTGAAGGATTGAGGCTATCGGATTTCCAACTTTTGGGCTTCTACTGTAGGCTTTCGAAACCTTCAGGATACGGGTTTGATACAGATCAATGGTAGTCTACAGTGTGCATGGCCGTATATACATCGCAGCAGATCTACTGGGAGGCTCTCTGTTTTGCGTCATTCAGGTTTCAGGCCGATGCTGTTTGTAGCCGGTTCTACTCGTAGAATGTGGACAATGCTTGTGTTGGAACTAGTTTGCTGTGCGGCACCGACTAAGGAGAAGAAGGGATGACTCAGAAGGGCATGTTTAAGATAACGGATTTTGGTGAGTGTATGCAGATCCTTAGGATTGTTGTGAGTGTGACTTTTGGATTTGAGTATAGCAGGTGTGGTGAAGCTGCCTTACACTTATCAGACCTGCCCACCACACACGGACTGCGCTTCCAAGCCTATAGGGTTACATCGAGTGCCCATTTGGGGACAGGGGCCATGTAGCGTACGTCAAGAGTTTTCGATCGTGCAGCTACCTGCGACAATCGATTTGAATTGGAGTCGAGGTATACTACACACTTGGAGCCTTCAAGTTAAAGTTTCTGACACATGAGTGGCTTGTTTTTCGCCGAAGAGCCGTTTTGCCCCGAGCGTTGACCGCTTGACAGTCGTCCACAGTGGCTCAGCTTCCTATTATGGGCTCGATGTGTGGTGTAGTTACTTAATCGGCATGAGGCCTTTCGGGCTATGCGCTTTCTAGACCGTCTGTGCAGGAGAGGAATGATAGAGCTAAAGCATCCATCGGTTCGATTTCGGGGCCTTCGTTTTTGTACTACTACTACTACTACTACTACTACTACTACTACTACTACTACTACTACTACTACTACTACTACTACTACTAGTACTGGTACTAGTACTAGTACTAGTACTAGTACTACTCCTGCTCCTACTCCTACTACTACGACTACCACCAGTACTACTACTGCTACTGCTGGAGGGATACTTCACCTGCGCCCCCAACCGAAAGCTCGGAGTATCCATGGCCATGTGCATCCTGAAGCCATGGCTACAGCTTCTGACCCTTAGCTGAGCACGAGAAATCGTGGTCAAGGGTTTAGGGTTTAGGGGTTTAGGGTTTCAGGAGGTCAAGTCTTCCACAATGCCAGAGCCAGAAGCCGTCATCTTTCCAGCAGAGTACTGCTACATGACACACAGGATACAAGAGTACACAGTGCATGCAACGACATAAGTAGTTTGTATGTACATGAAATGTACCAGTCGAAGATGTCGGCTTACACGCATACCAGACAAAACATACATGTTTTTGTTTGTATATATACGTACATACATAGATGTAATAGAAAGCCAGCCATCCGCACTGCCAGCCAGGTAGACCGACCGACAGCCGGAAAGACATGAAGGTACGCATGCAAGCAGGCATCTTCCTAGATCCTATGTGCAAGAAGGGCGAGAAACAGATCCTCCCAAGGAAACTCGACATGGAAACGCTCGAGTCCGCCCCCTCTGTTGTCCACAAGATGGTTCAAGATTGGGTAAGAGGTCTGGTGTTTCAGATGCCATGAAGTGCTGAATTTTGCGTAGAGCAGGGGGTGCGGGGTGGTGTCCTTTGCGGGAGAGCGGAACTTGTCGAAGCCTGGCCCAGCAAGCCTGCACGAGGTAACAGAGTCTTCATAGCACAGGTAGCGAGGTCAAAACCGTTTCAACATGCAACAAACCGTTGGGAGAAGCAAAATCACAGGCAGCGAGTGTAGCAGTCATGCACATGAGTGCTGTAATAGCCATTGCTAGCCGTACAAATATACCAAAAGCTCAAACCTCAACCCTTTACACGGCGTTGTCCATGCAATCTCCAACTAGCTGGTGATGAGGAAGAAGATGGTAATGACGATGTGTGTGTGTGTGTGTCTGTGTGTGTGTGCGTGTTTTGATGCATGCCTTCCATAGAGTAGAAGAAGAGTCCGAGGATTTTTTCAATCCCGATAAGCTACCCCTCAGGATGGGTGCTGCGGTTGTGGTCGGCCGGACCACAGATGCGCCGCTCGATATGGTCGGCTGGTGGAGCTGGGATATACAACTTCAGGTGTTCGGATGTTCGGCATTTTTGTGGTTGAATTCGGCAGACCTTCGGCTCAGGTTTAAGAATTTAGTTCCTGGTTTGTTGCTACAAGGCATGCTGAGACGGCAGCTTTTGGTTTCCGCAGGGACTCTAGTGTCAAAGGTTTGGGGTCTGCAAGCTTTCTTTACGGGTTTTGTGTTGTAAGATGAGGTTTGCAATGTCTGACTCCAACAAGGTATGGAGCATGCAAGGTCGGATTTTGAAGTCTCGGGTCCAGGCCAGGTTTGGATCTGGAGTCAAGGCCCTGTTTACCAGAGTGGCAGGTTAGTAGACTACACAGTTTCAACGCTGTAAGAACTCTGTCTGAGAGCACTCCTTCCCGAACCTGAAGCCTTACTGTTGTACAGTTGCATGCGCCCTAAGTCCTAAACAGGCCTTAACGTTTCAGCCCTGAACCCCCAAACCCAAAACCCTAAACCCCTAAACCCAAAATCTTAAAACCTAAAATACCCTATAAATCCTCACCCCCTGAACCCTAAACCCACAAAGACCTCAAAACCCTGTTTCTCGGGCTTGCCGGCTCGGGGCGCGAAGCCCAGCCAGGCCCGATGGGCGAAACCGATACCCGAAGGCCCCAAAGTAGTTCCTTCTTGGGGTTCATATTTAGAATCCTATAAGGTAATCCCAAAAAGGAACTACTTTGGGGCCTATGGGTAGAGACCTCACAGATTACGCTATGCGTGAAGGCTGCTGTTGCTGCTGTTGTGGTTGTGCACTGCTGACGCCCGGGTCTTAGGCACGATATGCACCGCTTAGATCCCGAAGCCTGAAGCCTAGTTCCTAAAATGTGCGAAATCACGGACGGCCACGAGGTCCTGAACCCTTCAGACCTTCCATGCTCCAGCTACGTAGGTCCAGAGTGGTCTAGAGTTTCGCTCCTACAAAAGGCTTCATCGCATCCGCACGCTGCTGGCCGATGTTGAGGCGAATGCCAAGGCTAGCCATTTTGCCGCGTCCTGGGTGAGGTTTTGGGTTTAGGGCCGTTTAGGGTTTTGCGGTGCAGGGTTCTGAGAGCTGTACGGTTTATATACGCTTTGTTGGGTCGGTGTGGGTGTCGTGGAGTCTTTGGGGCTGAAGGTCGAGAGACAAGCTGATCGAAACTTACCCAGAGGGTCCAAGTACCCAAATAGTAGGGTTTTAGGTCCCGAAACAGATAGCGCCGTTAGCGGGGTGGGGGGGTTCGTTCTCTCGGACTATTGAGGGGGGGGGAGTCCTTACTCCAGGAGTATTGAGGGGGGGGGGGGGGTTCTTAATGCGGGAGTATTGAGGGGACGGGAGGGGGTCCATACTCCAGGAGTATTGAGGGGGGGGGTCTATTCCAAGACTATTGAGGGGGGGGGGGGACTCGTACTCTTGGGGAGGGGGGGGGTCTCTTTGGGAATGGTTGTCGTAGTATTTTGTCGGGTGAGGAAGAAGGAGCAGGAGAAGGAGTAGTAGTAGTAGTAGTAGTAGTAGTAGCAGTAGTAGTAGTAGTAGTAGTAGTAGCAGCAGTAATAGTAGTAGTAGCCTTCGTTGTTGTTCCCTCCCTCTTGAAAGAACAACAACCCCGCCTCCGCTTGTTGTTCCCCGCATTCTTGAGAAAACAACACCCCCCCCCCCGGGTTGTCGTTCTTACCCTTCCCTTCCCCTTTTGCAAACCTGCAAAATGATTCCTGCTCAGTTGTGTTTCCTTGCTTTTCAACCCCTGAAGTGTTTGCATGTGGCTCTTTCCTTCTTGTGTTGACGAACGCTTTTTCTTCCTGGCGGCTCGAAACAAGGGGGGGTTGAGCCTAAGACAAGCGGGGGGGTTGGGGGGGGCGCAGCCCCCCCCATTTGCAAGCCTTCCATCGTCATGATAAACTGTACTTGCTTGCTTTAGCCCCCTAATGCGTTTGCATGTGGCTCTGTCCTTCTTGTGTTTTGGCGAACACGCTCCTACAACCCTGTTGTTGTCCTTCTTCGAACTTGACCCCCTCCTCCATATTGGAATATAACCCCCCCCTCCATACTGCTGGACTATGAATCTTCCCCCTCCATACTCATGGAGTATGAACCCCCCCCTCCTGGACCATGACCCCCCCCCCTCTTAATACTCCTGGAGTATGAACCCCCCCCCCCTTGAATGATCCTGGACTACGAACCCCCCCCCCCCCCCCCCCCCCCCCCCCCCCCAAATACTCCTGTGAACCCCCCCCCCCCTCCTGTTCTTTCCCCCCCCCTCCCCGCCTCTTCTGGGGGGGGGGGGGTCAATACTCCGGAAGAACTGACCCCCCCTACCCGTGTCCTAGCGGCGTGGTCTCTCCCGAAATCCATACTCTGAATGGTTTTTGGACCGTAAAAACTCACTATTTGGGTACTTGGACCCTTAGGGTTACATAATCAAGAAGCCAGCAGCGAGCATTACCAGCATTGTAGGTGAATTCTGACCTGGCCAAAGTGTTGCAGGTTTGCTTGACTCGGTTATCTGACCGTCAGATGTCTGTGAATAACAGAGACGCCTACGTATTTAGTGATACTGTCCTTGAAGGGTGGGTTTGAGTTGAGGATTGTGTTACAAACGCTTAGACCCTAAAGCTTGACCCCTGAAGCCTAGAAACCAACCATCCAACCAACCAGCCTAATCCCCTAATCCCCTACCTAATCACCTAAACGAAAGCTGAAACGGCTGAAACCAAAGCTCTGCCCGAGGAGCTCTTTGAAGCCGGCAGCTTGGATGCCGCGGCAGCCCGAGGCCCCGCGTCATAAGCCTTGGGCCTCCGTATAGTCTCCATTGTAGTTCCTTTTTGGGCTAACCTTATAGGAACCTAACTGTATAATTGGTTAAACCAACAAAAGGAACTAACATGGGTAGTTCTCTAAATACGCAAGCGGGGTTTGAGGTTCAGGTTTATAGGTGTTCAGGGTTTAGGGTTCAGGGTCTAGGGACACCCAAATGGGTAGTTCTCTATATTAGGGACCCATCTAGGGCTGTTCATAAGGGTGCCATACTTTTTTGGGGGGACCTAAAAAAGGGAGCCCTAATTTAGAGAACTACCCGACTGCCAATGTAGAGCCATTTAGGGCTTCAGTCTTCCCTAGGCTTTCTCTCAGCGTGGTTCAGGTGGATGCTTTTTGCTTTGTGTTTGCCAGTTTGAGTCTTAAGATCGTGTCGAGTGTGAAGGTTCAGAGCTTCAAGGACATCTTGGAAATTCAGATCATGCAGCGTAAATACTTACCAATATTATGGCTCAGGGTCCCTTACCATGAGTATATTACAAAGGCGCCCAAAGCCCTGTTCGAATTTTTGCTGTTGCTGTTGTTGTTACCGTCGAGTTGTGGTTGTTGGTGTGGGTGGTGATGTCGTCGTCGCTGCTGTTCATCACAGCACCGGTACTGGCCACTCCTTGTAACACCACCGTTATTCAAACTTCCGTAGGTGCATATCCTTTGTGAGCGCTAAGTCACGATCCCCTTGTACTTTCACCCCCCGATACCGCACCCTTAATCCTAAACCCCCTCAGGCCCTAAGATCCCCTAGACCCGAAACCTTAAGTCCCAACTTAGGGTTTAGGGTCCCTAATGGCCCTAAGATCCCCTAGACTCGAAACCTTAAGTCCCAACTTCGGGTTTAGGGTCCTAAGATCCCCTAAATCCGAAAGCTTAAATCCCAACTTCGCGCACCCGCCGAGGGCTCACAGATGCCTTGGCGGGCGCGGAGAGGAAGCTGGCTAAGGACGGACCGAGTCTTTGAGGGGCCTAGAAGAGACCTATAGGGCCCTTAATAGTGGGTATTTGGGGTATATTAAAGGGTAGTCGGGGGGTCTAGATAGGGTTTAGGGACTGTAGCTTTGAGTGACCTATAAGAGACCTATAGGGGGTTCTATCAGGGTTCGGGTTCTTTAAGGGTTTGGGTTTAGGGTCTGCCTATAGTCTCCATTGTAGTTCATGTTTTTGGTTAACCAGAATTTATATTATAGGATCCTAACCGTAAAATCGGTGGACCAGACAAGGAACTACAATGGAGACTTCAGGTAAGGAAGCATCTCGAGAACGTGAATGTTCGATTGAAGGCCTTAGACTCCAAGACACTAGGGTTTAGGGGTTTATGGGTTTAGGGTTGGGTCACGGCCAACCCCCAAACTTACGAACCCACCCGACAGAGCAGGGCCAGCATAAACCCCCTGGAGTTTTGCAGTCTTAGGAGTTTTAGGTTGCAGTCGGCTTAGGTGCGAATCCTGGGGCTCTAGGTTTTGGGGGCCCTGAGGTTCGAGAGTTTGGGGCATTATTTTGGGGCCGAAGTAAATATCTTATAGCAACCATTATCGACCCGGTGTGAAGGAACCCTATTCTAATACTTAAGGCCCTACCTATATTAAGGTTTCGGGGAGTCCTTCGAAGGCGGATGGATCTTAGCGCTTCGAAGTCCGCCAAGGCCCAGAGGAAGCCGGCAAGCAGTAAAAGGCTTTAGGATGTGTTTCCGGGATTTCAGGGAAGCTTCAGTTAAAACCAAGTAATTCAGTTTTTCCGGTAAAGGTGCTATTCCGACTTAGTTCATTTCCAGCGCTGCTTCAAAGACCTCAAAAACTCACAGGAAGCCGAAGCACCCCCGAAACGCATCCGAAAGCCGCCGCCACATTCGAATTCTATAGGTCCGCAAGCCCTGAGTGCTAGAGCCCGAGAACCCTCAAGGTCCCTAAACCTTTAATCCTGAACCCCAAAATGCCCTAACTCCTAAAACCCTAAACCCCCAAAAATTCCCAAGACCCTGAACCCCCCCCGAAAGCCCTAGACCTTCCCGCACAGCAGCTCCTCAGCCATCCAGGAGACGAGCTCGGAGGGTGGCTTGTCTTCTTAAGGTGTATGTATGTACGTATGTATGTATGTATGTATGTATGCATATATGTGGGTTTAGGGACTCACGGTGCAGGGTATGCATGTATCTGTATGTAAATGTGTATGCTGTATGTCAGTATGTACATCAAGCATGGGACTGAGATGGGGGACAGGGGTTGAATATTCACGGGGTCTACATAAGTTGATTGCTGTCCAAAGAGTGTTGTCTAAGGTCAGGAGCTCTACTTCATGTCGCGGATCCTCCGGGGCACGATCTACCAGCAGGCTCCCACCAACGCCGGTCGCGATTTGATGAATATGACTCGGGACTGCCTTCACATCAACGCATGTTCGTATGTCTAGCATGGCCAGGTGCTGCTGATTATTCTTATCGTACATGCCATGGGCATGTGAATTCGGTTTTGTTGTTCGTATGATAGCTTCTGTTTTCTTTTTGGTCCTTTAGGTGCAGCGCCATCCTCCGTCCGGGTCTGTCGTTGTTGTCCTAAAACGTTCGAGTCTTCTGCCCGTCCGAGAACTGGTCCCGTACGCCTCCTCCGAGTTTCAATTCCGGCCGATCGCGCATGTTCCAAGAAGGAGAGAGTGCACGAACCTTAAACCCTCAGTCGCTTAACACATGTAACAGTGCCCCCGATAACCATCTTCATATCGGCGAGATTCCTTCGACGTACCACTCAACCGAACCCTTCCAGGGGTTGAAGCCTCCCAGAAGCACATGAAAGCCGCCCCGAAGCCCGGAATCCATGCTCCATGCCAAAATACCCTAAACCCCCAAACCCTAAACCCCATACCATCCGAAGCCCAAAGTCCAGAGGCCTTCGGCTTCGATGACCAGGAAGTAGAGACAAGGCCCGCTGGAAGATAGAAATCTCGAATTCCGTTGTAGCAGCCTAGCGGTTTTGGGGGGGCCTTTTAGGGAAAGATGAGGGGTCAGCAGCTACAAACCACTGAGCCTTGTCGGGTTTGGGGTCTTTTGCCCTGGATCCTGAGCTGTTTGTGACATGTCCGAGTGTGGAGATTGGACCCCAAGCGCTTTGGATCCTTGGGTTTTGGGGGTCAGTACCCCCCATTTTTTTTCGAAACTCCCAGTTCTTCCCTGCAGCCCGAAACCCCAAAACCCAAACCTCAAATCAGGAACCCCCGAGCCGCAAGTCTTAACGTCCCAAAAGCCTTGGGGGCCTAAATTGGGCTTTGGGTTTTGGGCTTGGGGTTTCGGATTTTCGCTCAGTGTGTGGGTTTTAGGGTTTGGCGGCCTGGGTTTGGGTGTTGGGGCTTAGGGCTTGGAGATGAGGTTCAGGGTGGGGGGGTTCTTCTAATACACTATACGGAAGAGAGTTTCAGCTAAAGCCTGGTTTTCGGGTTTGCCGGTTCAGCTTAACAAGCATTCCCAGACCTACCTACGCCTCAACCGCAGAGCTTCAGCCCACACAAGGGATGCCTACACGCTGTCGAATGCCCGGTTTTGGGAAGACTACTACAATTCAACCGACCTCGCGGCCTTCGACTGGTGCCTCGGTTTGGGGAGAGGTTGGGGGATTGGGTTAAGGGTAAGGGTTCAGGGCCTTTAGGGTCTTCAGGGCTTTGGTGCTGGAGGGCTTTGTCTTGAAGTGCTTGTGCGGCCGTCGTTCTTTGGGGATTCAGATTGAGCCGGGCTTTGGCATGCTGTTGCTAATTACTCTCAGCCCATTCATGCGTGCCTCCAAGAGCCCGTCTGCTTCACTTCCTGCCTGAACTGAACTGCAGCAGACCAGCTGCAGGAAGTCCTTGCAGCCCTTCGACCCTCATCCTCAATCAGCGTTGCTGCATCACCGGGACAAACAGGATGGACATGCGGAGGATACTCTCAGTACATATGGGTGGTTGTCAAAATTATGGTCCTTTTTTGGGTACCCTAAATATTAGGTACTATATTAGGGCCCAAAAAGGGACCATAATTTTGACAACCACCCATATACCATGAGCACATGCTGAAGCGGAGAGGCGACAGGTCCGTTCTATGTGGCCGGCGAAGCGGAGTAGTTCATTGCCCACAAGAAGCAATACTACTACATACCCATAGGCCCCATAGTAGTTCCTTTTTCATTTGGGGTTCATATTCAGAATTCTAGGAGTAACCCAAGAAGGGCCTACGGGTAGTTCTCGGCGGAGAGTGGAGGCCACGTGGGAAGCAGCACGGGCTGAAACATATAGATTCCGCCGAACCTTCGGAACCTCGCATAGGTCCTGAGTCCTTCAACAAAAGGAATCTACAAGCATTCCCACAATTCTCAAATACAGGTTTGAATCGGATCTTATGAGGCTCGATAAGTGCAAGAATTTCTGGCGTCCTTCATTCAAGGGTTTAGTTAATGGCTCGGGGCTCAGGGCCTAGGTCTTAAGGTCTGGGCAGAGAGCGGGCTGTCGGCATTACATGTCCTTGGCCGAAATAAAACCATCCCCGAACGTCATTGCTTGGACCCTGAAACCCTGCGCCCGTCAATTTTATTAGTGATAGCACCAAGCTACATCCCCCATATGCCCTGACCCTAAACCTCCCTACCACATTACTGCTGACTCTCAGTCTCGTTTTTTTTCGAGGTATTATCCCCAAAATCCAAAGCTGTCAAAAAACCCTTGTGGAACTAGATATAGGACGCCTTGTCAGTATGCCTTGTTTTAAGCATGGTGGTCTTCCTTATCCCTAACGACCCAGCTCGTTGAGTATCCTTGAACCCTCAACCCAAAGTGATACTCAAAACTCAAAACCCATTAAAAATAACCCTAAAGCCTAAAGAGCCCTGACTAAACCCGTAAAGTAGCTGAACCCTAAACCCTTACATAACCAGCAAGAGCCCTGACTAAGCCCTGACAGTAGCCTTGAACCTTAAACCTTACAGCCTCCTGGTAAGGATTTCTGGCTGTACACCAGTCGGAAAAGAGCCCTCACAAACAAGAACAAAAATCAAGCCTTCCAGTATTCCTAAAGAAAAGAGCCCTGGGCTCAGGTATGGCTCCTGGAACACCGAGGCATTCTGGCTCGAGGATTGGAGGACAGAGCGCCTGGGTGCAGCCGCATCCCCGGGGGATTTTTGCAACACGCGAAGGCTCAGAATTCTCAAACTGACAGCAGTAGCAGTCGAGGCGGAAAGCTTACTGGTAAGAGCAGTCGCGATGGTGGTGGTGATGATGATACTGATGATGGTGAAGGTTTTACTGATCGCTGGGCTTGAAGATGTGGGGCTTCAGGGTTTCGAGCTTATTCAATGCTGGGCTTGTAGGATGGTCAATTGTGTCAGAGGGATTGACCTTGGTTGTTTCACATTCCGTATGGATACAAACTCTGGTTCACTGCGAGCCTCATAGTATTTGAGTCACGTCCATCATCGCTCTTGGCGGCATCGCTACCCAGGATCGCGCCGATGACATTTCGAGATAGACAATACGTGTTGCAGTAGGCATCTCTGTCCCTCTCCGGCTTCCAAAAACGAAAGGTCTACTGACTATGCAGGTGCCTTTGAAGCAAAACCGAATGGGTCCTCTCAGGTCTGGGATTGGAGCTGTAGCATCGGCTGGTGTCATATCGAGCAGCCCGCATAGTCTGTAAGTCTACACGTTTAGACTCGTAGTAAGTCTGATAGCGAACGTAGAAGCACGAACATCATACTGTGGTTCTTTGAGCACCGAGGTACTGCAGACGTATTTGCGCCCATCTGCGAACATCTTGGTTCTGGGCTGCGGGCGCTCGGACCTTTCTGAGCGAATGTACCTGGCAGGCTAGCGACAGGGTGGGTGGGAGAACGTGTGGATGAATGTATCTCATATGTATATGTATATGTATATGTATATGTATATGTATATGTATATGTATATGTATATGTATATGTATATGTATATGTATATGTATATGTATATGTATATGTATATGTATATGTATATGTATGTATATATATGTATATATATATATATATGTTTATGTGTGTATATATATATATATTCAGCTAGCTAAGAACTGTATCTACAGGCGTCTTCTGTTTCGGGTCGGCGCCCCTGCCACTACTCGTGCTACTACTGCTGTGGGTGCTGCTGCTGACAGTGATGTTGCTTGCTACAACTATCACTGCTACGACGACGGCGATGGCGACAACTCCTAACATTACTACTACTTACTATCACTACTTGCTGCTCATCATGGCACGATTGCTCCAGCTATAAATGTGCTTGTCGTCACGTTGTCAGGGTGTCACTACTTTTTGGATGTCGTCAGAAATTAGTGGCATTGTTGCGTGCTTGTCAGCTACGTATTTTTGGTCAGCAGGGGTCATGTGTCTGGTTGCGCATAGGGCTATTCAGCTTCAGGAGTAGGAATGGAATAGCAGGGCATGGATTCGGAACAGGATCGGATGGCCGAGGTTGACACTCTGCAAGTTCCCGTCTGTCTATTGACCCTACAGCAGAAGCACAGGCCACCCCATTTGGGTCGGCTCAGCTGTTCGCTGGAGGCTACCAGAACATCACGAACATTGACATCAGCATCTCGCTACTCAAGCGTTCGGGGCTAAGGCTGCATGCTTCAGCACCAGGGGCCGAGATGCAAGTAGTGTTGAGCGAAGATGCCCGCAGCGCAGCAAGTGGACACCCCCTAAACCCCTACCCCTACTAAACCCTAAGTCCCCAGACTCCCCAAACCCCTAACCCCTAAACCCTAAATCCCTAAACCCAAACCCCAAACCCTTATAGATCCCTTAAAGAACCCTTAACGGAACCCTTAAAGGAACCCCAAACCCTACCAAAAAGAGTGAGCTCCTGATTTCAAAAACCCGAGGCCTGGAGGGCACCCTGGGGCCCTCACTTCCGGGAATGTGCCGATCTCAGCAAGAAGGGTTGAACTCACGGTCTCGGGTTTAGGGGTTCAGGGTTTAGGGGTTTAGGGTTTAGGGGTTTAGGGTTTAGGGTTGAACTCAAAGGGCTCCGAAAACTGGGGTTTTAGGGATAAGGGGGTCTTATATTAATTAGACTCTTACTTTGGGATTACCCCACCTACCGTCATCCCACCCCAATGGCCCAAGACCCTAAACCCCAAACCCCCCCGCCATGCCCCCACGGGCCCTTTTCCAGAAAAGTATAATGGGCCCCAACACCCTAGTCTAGCTATTAAGGCGCCTGTAGTAAATCCTAAACCCGGGCTTTGCCTCAGCAGGTCCTGGAAATGGATGAACGTATCCGCAATGTCTGCCGACTCCGAACCCTGGCCAGAGATGGGGTTTTGGAGTTTCGGGTTTCAGATGCTAGAGATGAGGGCTGCCTGATTTTTGGGCTCCCTCAAGTGCCTTTCGTCTGGGAGGGGGGTGGGCCTAGATTACATTTTGGGCATCCTGTTGCTGTTTCGGATCTATGCCGGGGTTCAGCACCGGAACCTACACCTTGAGCTTCAGCTGTACGACTTTACGGGAGGTGGTGGTCTCTCCTGACTTGTGTATGCGAGGCAGTCCTCGTGCCAGCCGGGAGAAATTCCACATCATCAGCCGTAGTCTCCACAAGGTTTTGTTTTAGGGACTGGTTTCATTTTGTGCCTGCGGGGATACAGGTAGTACAGTACACAGTATGGATTGGCAAAAGGTATCGTGAACTGATCCCTTCAAGATCCAGTCGCTCAGGGCTCCAAGATCCTTAAACCCGAAGCTCCAAGCGTAAAACCCTGAGCCCGAAGTCCCAAACCCTAAACCCTAGACCCAATCAGCAAGCGGAACAGAAAGCAACTAACCTCCTCAGTCCTCCTTCGACATCGTCGTGGAAAAGGGCACCTACGACTCCCTTCAAGAGAATCCAGGATTGCTGCAGGCGGGGACTACAAGCACGAATTCATTGAGGACCGGAAGCCACACAGGACTTTAGGAAGTAGAGTTGGCACTTGCGTTTCTCTCTGGGGCTCGTTTCAATAGCGAATTTAGCGGGATGAGGCCTCAATGCCTAGAGGGGTTTGGGCTTTAGAGTCCTCAGCCCGTAGGCGTAGGATATCAGCAGGGGAAGGCGAGGGCAGGTCGCTCTGACGCAGGGTCACACGACATAGGTTTGTCTCGCCAGTTACGCTTCAAGCCATCAGAATCAAGGAAGAGAATCCGCACATATTTGCATGTAATGTACCTGGACCCCAAAAGTATGTAGAGTAATAGCCTTTTATAGGCTTTGGGCCATTATTTTACCCACTTTTGGGGACGGTCTAGGTATGCATATGTGCACAGTTTTGTCGGGGCCGGCTTTGTAATTACTTGGGTTTGGGGGTATAGTATACTATAGCTAATTATCGGGGGTGTAGTATACTATAGCTATAATTATATCCTAACAGGAGCCCCCCAAACCCTATTCTAATTGTTTGAAGGCCCTTACACTAAGGCCCCAAAGTCCCAAAGTGGTTCTTTTTGGGGGTTCTCAATCAGAGAAATTTTATAGAAGGGAATCCCCAAAAGGAGCTACTATGGAGCCTCTGGGTAGAGTATGGTATCGTGGAGGTTCTGCCACTGAGGCTGCATCTGCCGAGACGCACCGCGTTCTGCGCGACGGTGGGCTGCTGATCTCCATCACGGCGCCTTCCTGGGAACTGCAATGGCTTCATGGGTCCTGAGGGGTGGTTTAGGATATATATATATATATATATATATATATATATAGGGTTTAGGGTTTCTAGGGGTCTTGATGGATGATCATGGGTACTTATAATGTATACTATAAGTGGGATTCTGTTGACGCACGGGACTTGAAGGATGATCATGGGTACCTATAATGTATTATCCTATAATTATGAGTGGGATTCTGTGGATGTGTCCTTGGTTATCGCCTGGTCTTCAAAAATCTGTAAACACCGTGCGTGGTAGCTTGATCTGCGGTGGACTAAAAGATGCAGGCTGGGCACTTGAAATGACAAACTTCGAGAGTTTAAATCCCTGCACATAGGATCCTAGCAGAGAACCCCAAGAATCCTTAGGCCTTAACCTCACCCCTTATATAGATGCCTAAACCCTTAAATCCCTTCAACCCTTAAACTCTTAAGTCCCTCCAACCCTTAAACCCATAAGTAAACCCTAAACCCCTGAACCCCTGGAACCCCTACTCTCCAAACCCCAAACTACGAAACCACAAACCCTAAACCCCTAAACCCTTAAATCCTTCGAACACCTAAACCCTGAACTCCTCAACCCCTATACCCCTTATACATCCCCTATAGAACCCTTAAACGAACCCTTGAAGGAACCCTCAAAGGAACCGCAAAAAAACCCTAAACCCCCAGTTGGCCTCCGAAAAGCCCAGCCACGGAGCTTCGGAGGACACGCCGCCCGACCGGCGCCTCGAGCAGCTGCGACCCCAGTGCCTTCGCTTTTTTTGAGAGACTGAATCGGGCTAGGGCTTTTTTAGGGGTTTAGGGCTTAGAGGGTTTATAATGGGATTTATACTGTAGGGTGCAGGGGCTTTATAATGGGTTTTTTAGGGTTTAGGGTTTAGGCTTTACCCTAAGGCCCCAAAGTAGTTTCTTTTGGGGGTTCATATTTAGAATCCTGTAAGGGAATCCCCAAAAGGAACTACTATGGAGCCTCTGGGTATAGGGTTTAGGGTTTAGAGGGTTTATAATGGGACTTATATGGAGTGAAATTGGTAAAGATATGCAGGTTTGGGGGTTCAGGGGAATGAATATATATATATATATATATATATATCTGTGTGTGTGTGTGTAGGTTTAGGAGTGTTTTGGGGTCTCAAAGTGTGTAGGCATAGGAGTAATTAATGAGAATATGTGTAGGTTGTGGCGTAGGGTATTTCAAGTATGGGTTTCTTGAGATATTTGTAGTTTAGCAGCCGCCCAATCGGGGGCCTGGGCTTGGGGCACGAGGCCCGCATTCCTCAAGGTCCAATGACGAAACTGTTCTTTCAAAAAACGTGTCGTTTTGGGTTGCAGGTGATCTTGGGCTGAAAGTAATATAGGGGCCTCAATAATACTATTTTGGTGGGTTCCTTATTGTAAATATAGCATAAGGGGTCCCAAAACCCTGGACCCTATTCTAGTTATTGAGGCCCCTACATAAGAGTTTCGGGGCTTTTTGTCCCCAAGGGCATAAGAACCAGTGCCAGCCTGACCTTAGTCGACCCGAAACTCTAAACTGTGAGTTCTGTTTTCGCTATTACAGTAGAAGCCGGAAATTTGGAAACCCATTAGCCTCGATCCTCAAGAGTAATGTATAGGGAACCCCAGCACTATTTGGCCTTAATCCGGTTGGTGTTAAACCACAGAACCTTAACCCGGTTGAGTGTGTTGGTGGTATCTTCACAAGTTGCTTCGAAATCTGTACTTGCCTGGGCCTAGGCTCTTCTAGCAGCTAGGTTTAGGGTTGGTTTGAGTTTAGGGTTTGGGGATTTGGGTTGATGGGGTTGTAATTTAGGGTTCAAGCTCCACAGGCGTTGGCAAAGCTGCGTGTCCCACAGCGGCAACATAGACACCACCAGCGGGCAAAAGGACCTTTTCGTGCCGCCTGACTTCGACATTAAATGTTCACTTGCAGTTGTGGCTGTGGTTTGGGTCGTTGTTGTTGCCGATGCTGTTGTTGTTTTCGTTGTCGTACTCAGCTGCACTCAATAGCTAAGCAGATGAGCCACTTAACCCAGGCTGCCTCAGAGCTCCAGGCAAAGCTAAAGGCAGCTCGGAGGTAGCGCTACAGTGTCATACCGTCATACCGCTTCATCTATGGCTGAAGCTATTCTACTCGAAACTCCGTGGCCCAGTGGTCCAGGTCCTAGCCACTAAGCCTTCAAGTTGCTGAACTCCTGAAGCTGCGGTTGGGGTTCAGGGCTTCGGGGCTTAGGGGGTTTCTTCTAAAAGATATGGTACAATATACCCCCAAACCCTATTCTACTCAGTAATATATCCGGCTTTAGGGCTTTTGGGGCTTGGGTTTCAGGATTAGGGTTAGACGGAGCTTCGGAGCTTTGCAGCAAGGCACGTTTGCCGGAAGCCCACGTCTACCGGATGGTTGAACTGGCTCTGGAGGCACCCCAAGGGTCCCAAGGACCCGATAATTGGGTACTCGTCTTTAGGATAGTAGTTATGTAGGTTAGGATTTCGGAGAGTATATGATTATTGGGTACTTGGACCCTTGAGGGCATGCAGCAGTTGCCGTGGTTCAGGCTTCGCTCTTAAGCCCCACCCTCCACCCTCGTTGAGTGCCCGTTTCGGGTCACGCTCTTGGGGCTCTGGGAATAGCCAGTATAGACGACATGATTGAGTCAGTATGTGCCAAGTGTTCCGAATACCCTTGCTTTTGCTTGGCAGGATTGCCAGTGTAGTTGTGGCAGTAACAATAGTAACAATTGCTGCAGGCATGATGCTATAGCTTCTATATAGGCTCTGACTATTCGCAATAGTTACCTGCAGCAGAAACCTAAGCCCTAAACCGATCAACTTCTGTCTTCTTGGCGTAAAACGTAAAAGCAGAAATATGTGCAACGAGCAATGCTCCGACGGTTGCGGCGAAGAGCCAGGTCTGCCTTGCAGTAGTTGCAGTTGATGCGCAGCCTTGAGCCAAAAAAACCCTAAACCCTAAACCCCCTAAACCGTAAAACATATCAGATACTGAAGATACCCTCAGGGTTTCGGGGTTTAGAACTATGGCGTGAGCCGAAGGGAAGCTTCTAAGCAACCAAGGACTTCTCAAGAGTGTTCCTTCAGACACTGGAAGTTTTCCTTACCCTTGCTGCCCAAGTTCGTAGTAGTACTTGAGGAAGGGAGGCAGGTTAAGAGTACATGATGTAGTGCTTAAAGCGAAGGTTTGGCAGTAGCTCTTCGAGGCTTTGGGCCTGAGTTAGGGTTCAGGGAGCCCCTAAAGCCTTATGATTTTTCTGTGGAGAACCTCTGAAGCTGAGCCCTTCATGAACCGGGCGTTCCAAGACTGGGCAGGAGCTAGCTACTAGACTTAGCGCAAGTCCCTTTACATCGAGAAAAGCTTCCGAATGTGGAGGCGGCTATTTCCTTCCCTGCGGGCTGGTAGCCGCGAGCTTTGAACGCTCTGTGGCCTGTGCTTCTGCTGCATTTGAGGTTGAGGGCAGAGCAATCGCAACGCTCAGGGGATGCCAAGGCTTAAGTCTCCGCCCTTCCCTGTCGGTGCTCCTCTACAACACCGTCATCATTGCAGTTTAGGTAGATGCCATGATCTCGACTGACAAGCATGGGAGGGCAGGGGCGCCGGATGGCGTGGGCTTTAGCTTCCCAAAATGGGGGGTTTCCGAAAATAGGGGACCCTTTTATATCGTTCCGACCTTCGGCTCATTCGTGCAGAATTGGATTTTCGTAGACTAACATCAAAGTTTTTAAGGACAAGCCGCGCCAAAAAAGGACAGTTATATAGGGGCCTAAGTTCTAAATAATTACCAATACTATCAAAATTAGGGTATAATATACCCGAAACCCTATTCCTTATTGAAAAAGTATTAAGGCCCCTATCGCAGCACTCCGAAGCTTTTCGCACACCGCAAGGGCCGGACCCCATAAGAACTCAGCCAGGTCGATCGAGGTCTCCTCGTGACTGGTGTCGCCCGAAAACTCCGGTCGAGGCATCCTGAGCTTTCACAATAGTAATTAGTAATACTAATAGTGATATAATGGCAAAAAACGAAGAATAACAACAATAAGAACAATGATAACAATTAGATGTAATAGCTTATCTGACCTGATCATGTCTTGTTTTTGCCACTCGTATCCGACATCTAAGTGGAGGTCTGCGGCTCAGGTCAGGTCTCATGAACACTGCAAGTTTCACTCCGAGCTCCATTCTGCATGTGAGGCTCGAAAGCATCGAGGTAGGCTTCACCCTATAAGCCCCAAGCTGCCGTCGGAAGTACGACGTACAGATGAAGGACCTCTCAACCCTTCCGCAGATCATCCAAGGCCTCGTTCTTGGGAACCTCTGGGAAGCAGAGCCGAATCACTCCGTGCCGCAGACATGCAAGACATTCTGCGGCTTGTGGAGGCAGTATGGGGCAGCTAAGGCGCTTCTCACTTCCGATAGTGCGACCACATACTTCTTCAGGTTGTGGCTTGCAGAGTTCATGACGGGTCAGGCCTTCACAACGCAGAGTGCTTCAGGCCCACCAGACAGCCCCATGTTTCACTTCGTTGCCAAAGTGCAGACAGAAGGCCAGTTGTCTGAAGCACCGAGATACCTCGACTGCGGTGACAGCTTGAGTCTTTACTTGGCGAGACTGAACCCACCAGATATTGAATCAGAGCGCCTCCAGCGCCTTTGGGACAAAGTGGCTGCTGTTCTGCGTGGCGAGCAGCTTACGGATGCCAGCCTCCTGTTGGCTTATGCTCAGAATTCGGAGAGTATGGCTGCGGCTTTAGTCGTGCTCTTGAGGGACTCATCAGGCTTGTCGCTCTTGCGATGTGATGGGGACTGCGCCTACAACGAAGTGCATATCTCAGCACACGGAGTCGCGGCCCGCGGGTTACGCAAAGTGAAGCAAGCATGGAAATGGAGAGCCATCTTGGAAGACGCCATGGACAAACTCTTCCAGAGCCTGAGCCTGAAGACCTCTTGGAGTGAAGAATGGGAGTCGCAGATGGATTTTGACTTCGAAGCCGATGATGCCATGGATTCCTACCTCGAGAAGCTTTGGAGTGGTGATGGTGATTGAGCCACATAGAGCTCAACACGGGGAACTGGCGGTTGTTCTTCAGACTCTTGCACATGGCGCAAGTGCACATGAGCATATGCTTGGATGTCAGTATGCCAGTATGTATGCATGTACGATTATGTACGTATGTGCATATGTCTGTGACAATCTGCCTGCCGGGTTTCATTTAACTACTTGCGGGGTCAATTTACGTTTCTGTTTCACGCAGAGAGGGGTGCGATGGGGTCCGAGAAGATTGCGAATCGAAAAGGGGTGCTGGCCGAGGGTAGTGCTATGGACAAGCTCAAGCGGCTGTTGCAAAGGAGAGATGGGTGCTGATAGCTTGATGTGCTGAGCCTTTGGGCTGCTGTCTATGTCTATGTCGGAATCGTCGAAGAACTCTCTGGGCTTCACAGTGCGGAAACTTTTGTTTGCAGACTGCTGAGGGTCTGCATGCTTCCACTGCCTTGTCCTGCGTCACGGCACTGATTCGGACGCATGTTTGCGATGTGCTTAAATTCAGTGACTTGTGAGTGCGATTCTTTTTGCAGCCCGCCACAGAGTATTTACACATCTCCATCATACGATCCTTGAACCCTAATTAAACCCTAAACCGATCATACCCAGGACCGGTGAGCTATCGTTGCTGGGACCCTGAACGCCAACGCCCGAACCCTGAACCCGGGACCCTGTCTTCCTGTCTGGGGCTTCATTGATTAGGGTTTAGGGTTTTCCTGGACCCCAAGAGTATGTAGAGTAATAGCCTTTTAGAGATTTGGGGCCATTATTTTACCTACTTTCGGGGGTCTAGGTTAGGGTTTAGGGTTGACACGGGCTTTGTTTTTTTTACGGGATGTTTTGATTTTGGGCCCGCAGTTCATGGGTTTCAAGGCCGGCGCCTTGAAACTCCCATAGCTTTGGGATGCGGAGGGCAGTCCCCAACACTCCCTCACTAAAGGATAGGCTTGAAATCCTAAGATAAACTAGGGATATTCCTTAATGAAGGGGGATTGGACCTGGTCCTTAAAGGAACCATTATGAAGCAAAAGTCTATACTTGTCTATCCCTGGTTACTTCAAAGCCCAGCTGACACATGGCCGGAAGGTCCTTTTCCGGATCTGGAGATTGGCGGCCGTCGCCTTGCAGCGTCCATCGATTTCTGTGACGGCGACCCCATCCCGTCTAATTTCTCTGGCGAGGCCGGCTCCACTGCACTGCTAGAGGCGGATGTCGTTGGTTTTGCTCCTGCTGCTTGCCCTTTATGCATTGAATCGCCCGGCAGTCTTGTCACCGTTGCCATCAAGGCGGCTATGAATCTTGTGATTTTGGAGTTCAACACGGTCGTATCACTGTCTTCGTTGTTGATGTAATTTGTCGTCTGTGTCGTCTTCGCCGTCGGCTGTATTTCGTTATTGCTCTGTCTATTGGCTGCTGTTGTCGCCGTCATTTGTTGTCGGCGTCGTCGTCGTTGGTGGTGTGCGGTGATCGTGCCGCTGGTACTGGTGCTGCTGCTGCTGCTGCTGCTGCTGCTGCTACGGAGGTGGTGGTGAGGTACAGCTTATTTACCTGTGATTATGATGATGGTTAATATCAAATTAGTAGCACTTTGCTTGTATATGAAAAAAAAGTAGTAGTATTCTTAAGAATAAAAAGAGTTGTTATGGTATTGTAGCTCGGGCCTCGAGCTTCGGCTGCAGGCCAGCCCGGAGCCGAAGAGCGCCGATGAGCAGACTGCACCGGCTGCTTCGCGCTTCGGATATCTGAGAGAATTTAGCAGCTGTCGTGTGTAGAATCTGTGTAAGATATATATATATATAGAGAGAGAGAGAGAGAGAGAGAGAGAGAGAGAGAGAGAGAGAGAGTGAGAGTGAGAGTGAGAGTGAGAGAGAGACAGAGAGAGACAGGGGGAGAGGGAGAGAAAGAGAAAGAGACTAGAATGTTCTGGTGTTGCGACGCTACCTCCCTAACCAGCATGTGCAGTGCAGTTCTCTGAGGTGTTTGATGCATCTAGCTGCCGACGCACTTGCCTTGCAACGACATCTTGGAGACGTGCAGCGCGCCAAAATCGTGAGCGTTTTCACGTGCTCTTCACCCTACTAAAGGGGCCTAAATAATTACCAATATTATTGTTTAGGGTTTCTTATTGTAATTACAGTACAATAATATACCCCAGAACCCTATTCTACTTATTAAGGCCTCTGCATTATGCACTTCACCCGGCTCCAGCCTGGGAGATCTTGCAAGAAAGGGTTTCAGCCGAAGCCAGAACAAGAAAGTTGACCGCTCTGTGGTGTACTCAGGCAGCTAGCGAGACTCGAGAGGAAGTCAGATATGAAGTTCGGGCGAGGGAACTATACATGCTCGGAGCATGTTAGCCCCCAACAATAGAAGGATGTCTGACAACCGGCCGTTACATCATAAGATCACAAGCATTTCTTGAGAAGCACAAGAGCATGAAGATAACCCTGACCTGGCGCCCCTGAAACCTCAGCCCGTAATCGTTCCTACACCCTACCCTAGCTTTGGTCCGCCTTCAGCCTTCAGCCCCAAACGTCTGATCCCCAAATGAACTCTAACCCTTTTGCAACCCTTATGACACCTAAACACTAAACCCCTCTGCAACCTTTAGGAAGCCCCTAAGCTCCTGCTAAACCCTGGCCCTGAACCCAAAACCCTTTTGCAACCCTAAACCCTTTTGCAACCCAAAATCCTTTTGGCAACCTCTAGGAAAGCCCCTGGGAGCAGCCCTTCCGGTGAAGGCCTGGAGTCCTCCTTCTGGGCAAAGGAATCTACCGGATATCAGCCGCTGCCCGTTCCCGAGGCCTCGGCCCGGAGGGGTTTAGGGTTTAGGGGTTTAGGGTTCAGGGGTTTAGGGTTTAGGGGTTTAGGGTTTAGGGGTTTAGGGTTTAGGGGTTTAGGGTGGGCCCTAAACAACCCTCCCTTCTAGGGCTCCTTCTCATGATTTCCTTGTTTCAGTGTTTTAAGAGGTGGGTTGTGTGGGACCTGGTAGGGGGGTGTCACAGAGGCTGGATCGTTTCCTTATCGTGGCTTGGCGGGATTGGCACTCCTTCGTTGGAATTAGGGTTCAGGGCTAGGTGCGAAGCCGAACGGGAGATGAAGAGCCCCGAAGCTCTACAACTTTTCTTGATTTGAAACCCTGGCCCTAAACCGTAAGACCTCGTCCGTGCCAGGTCCCAGAATCGTTGGCACCGCCTCGGGAGGAGAAGCCGGACAAAGCTGTCGAAGAGGCCAAGGGCTCAGGATGGGAGGTGTGAACAGGGCTTAGGATTCGTAATGGGGTCTAGGATTTTTTTGTTGGGATTCAGGATCCTTCATTGGGTAGAGGATTTCCAATGGGATTCCTGCGAAGAAGTTTTGCTCGGCCGGCTTCGGTTGGTTTGTCCACGGTGTTTTAGGATCTAGGGCATGTTGGTTTAAGGGTTTAGGGTGGTCCAAACCCCTATACATACTCTGAACCCTTACCCCGAACCCTCGCAGCCGTAGCAGCCATGAGCAGGAACTCCGAAGCTTCAGTTATTGAAGAAAGCTTGCACCGTAAGCGGCGCCATGAACCGAGACCCTGAAACCTCTTCATCCCCTTGGGGTCTAGACAGACATGCTTGAAGCCCCAACTAGCATAGCTAAAGCTATAGAAACGCATAAAATCAACTTGAAAGCAACAAAGAAGCCACGAAAGGTGCCAGAGGAGGACATCGCGACTTCGCACCTGCAGGCCGGCCCTCCCGACATCTCTCTGCTTGGTAGGTGTGAGAAGGGTTTGGACTGTGAAGTTACCTTAACCTACCGAATCCTTCTTTTTCGGTAGGGTCCTTGTAAAATTAGGCGGACTACGGCTGATGATAAAAATCCTGCAATACCGTAAGGACCCGAAGCTATGGGAATGATGGTACATTACTTATTATGGGTCTTGCAGGATTTATATCATCAACCGTAGGGTTCATAATACTGAGCTATAAACAGGTGACTCTGGTGGTTTAAGCTGAGGCCATATCATTTTTGGGGTCTGGCTCTGAGGGTTTAATGGCCATCAGGGCTTGAGGCTCGGGAGCTTTGCGGCTGGGTCTCTGGGGCTCCCTGGGCTTCGGGCTTGAAGGGTTGGGTTCATGGCTTACTTGGAGGTTCATGGGCAGTTACAAGTAGGGTTATAAGTCCCGTAATATGGGTTATAAGTAGCTACCCTACTTATAACTAACTACCCATGGCTCTCCAAGTACTCCTTGGGGATTTACGGGTTTTGGTGTGTGCCCAGTTGCCCTAAACTCGTGAACCATAAAAACTCACAACCAACAAATACTCGGTGTTTTTTTACGGTTTCGACCACACACACCGTAAACCGTAAACCCGAGACCCTATACCACGCCCGGGCCCAACCCTAAACACCCCATAATCCACAAACCTCTAAACCCAGACCTCTCAAACCTTACAAGCCGAAATCCTGCAACCCCCAAACCGCCAAAACCCAAACCACCCCAAACCCTCAACCCCTGCAACCTGCAAACCCCCAAACCTTACAACCCTCCAAATTCCTTAACCACAGCCCTGAACCTCAAGCACTCAACCCAGAACCCTGAACCCTACCGCCCCTGAACCCTAAATGCTGTACATATAAACCCAGAACCCTACAGCCCCTGAGCCCCAAAATCCTCTTCATCTCAATCTCCACCCTCACGGAGGAGATCCCCTCCCTCTCCAACTGCAGATGGAAAAAGCCCCTCAAAAACCAAAACCCAAAGCCCAGAACCCTAAACATTTCTTCATCTCCATCCTTGCGGAGGAGATCCCCTGGTCTGTGAAAGCGCTGGAGGCCCAGGCCGCTGACTTCGTTACCGGCCCGGGTGCCCGGACTCGGAGGGCGGCGTGGCAGAGGTTTGGGCTTCAGCGGCTTAGGCCGACCGGTCGTGTTAGGGGTTTAGCGGTTTAGGGTTTTGGGTTTACGGGGAGTTTGTGGAGAAAACTTCAGTAGTTGCACGAGCGGACTAGCCTAGGCCTAGACGGAGGAGTGCTGTCGATTACTGTTCGCGCATGATGGCTCCTTCCTTTATCGTGTGGACCGTGATAAAAGAAGTGCAGCACCATGGCAGCTCCTCTGAGAATATCAACATGAATGCATATTTATATAAGTAGATGATATATATATATATATATGTGTGTGTGTATGTATGTATATATATATATATATGTATACGCACACACATGCACGCACACATACAGACATACACATGTGCACCTAGTCATATGCTGCAAGGCGGTAAGTGTGGACATAAAGATAATGATGGTCGTGGTAGTGAGGATCATTACAGGGATTCAAATAAGGGTTACAGTTACAACAGTGAGAACTGAGAACAACAGCGATATAGAGGTAATATCAGTAATGACAACAAGAGGGTTGATTATCATAAACGCAACGGCAGACATGAGAAAAATGTATAGGTGAAAGCCGGCACTTGCTGCAGAACTTTGGGGTTTCGGCGGGTAGGGGCTTGGGTTGCATGCAGGGCTTTGGTGTTTGGAGTCTGGGGTTGAGGGCATATGAGTCTAGTTCCTCCAGCAACGTTCCATCTTCGTCACTAGGTAGTATATGCACCGGAACTAAAAGCCCCACCTGGTCAAAGAAACGCACACGCAAGTGATCGCCAGATCTTCCCATTGCCCAATCTGTCTGGAATTTGAGGCTTAAGAAAGCCGGGAAGCCAGAAATTGTTATGAAAGGACGGTAGATTACTGCTCTCCCGAGGGCTTCGGACACTGAGTGTGTTGGCGTTTTGTTGTGTTTCTTGGCCCGGAAGAGCTAGCTTAACTGAGGGGTCCCTATAGATTTCATCTTCGGGTGTGTAATAAGAACCTACAAACAAACAGGTTGGCTATGGTAGTTGAAGCTAGCTTTTGCTGGCAAGCAGCTTGTGCGACGCGCAGGCTTGGCTGTAGACTCGTAGACGTATTGTGGCAAGCAGACTCGAAGATCCAGTCTCTGCCATGCGAGCTTTGATGCCATGGGATCAGTCGAGGCAGGGATATTATGAAGCCAAGAGTTCAGCCAGCACCCGGAAACCTATAAGTCTAATTCCTGAAACGAGCCTTCGAATCGCGGCACCTTTACTAGGATGTCCAGTAGTACCCTTATGCCCGTTTTGTAGTCCTAGGTTTAATAAGGTACCGAATACCAAAAAGGGAGCCCTTTGTATTCCTAGGTTACTGGGCATCCTAGGGAGCCTTCACTCTCAACTTCCATTGGACCAAACTGGGTTTAACGGATAGAGTCCTGGGTTCTGAGTCATAGCTCTAGTATGTCACTCTATTCCCAGAAGCTCCAATATAGGGGCCTAAATAATTACCGAAACTATTTTTTGAGGGGGTTCATTATAATAACTATTGTATAATGTGCCCCAAAACCCTTCTGACTAATAAGGCCCCTGTATTAAATCCTAGGCCGGACTCTTGACACCTTGAGCCGCCGGCGCTGACTTTCTCTACCCCTCAAAGGGCTAAGCCCGCTAAACCCCTCGCACCTTCCCACGGCATGGCTTCTTGAAGTATCCCTTTAGTTTAGGGTTTAGGGTATCGGGAACCTTACCTATAATCTCTACTTGTTCAGCCCCCTGAAGTAGGATACTCGAGTCACAGCAGGGGCCGAAGCCTTAAAACTAGTTGCCCTTAACCTGCAGCCCTAAACCGTATGGAAGTTTCCGAAAATAGGGGTACCTTATTTTGGGGGTCCTTATCATAAGGATCGTACTATTTAGGGTGCTATATTAGGGTCCCCTATTTTCGGAATCTCCCGTACAGTGTTTTTAGATGCAGCAGGAATGCCGGGCTCTGCCGTCGGACACTGCCGTCCTGCAAGCCTGCAACAGGACTTCCTGTGCGAGCCTTTGGAGGTAGACCCCTGGAGCTAAGGAAGGCTAGGGGAGGCTCTGGTTCTGGGATTGGGCCCCTTTAGGGTTTAGGGTTTAGGGGTTTAGTGTTTAGGGGTTTAGGGTTTAGGGTTTAGAAAGCCTCACACCTAAGTTCACACCAGGTGTTTTCCACACCGCAGCCCATTTCCTCCTGAGCAGGAGAGATTGGCAAGACGCAGTGCGTCTGCTTGGCGAAATCCAGGACCTTTTAAATTGGCTACTTCCGTCTGCACATAATGACTCATGGCCTTCTACTTCAAAATATTTGGAGTTGAATTTTAAGCCACCTGTGAAATCGGAACCGCCAGATGATAGGCCCGCCACCGGCACATCTCTCGTAATAGTTGGCATGTCGTTGTGTCTCCTTTTTTATGCCCCTGGGTCTGGACTTCAGGGCCCTTGAATAATAACCTACTGGCCGTTTGGCTTTCCAGTCGAGTCGGGGGAGATTTAGGATTTAGGCTTTGGAACTTGTCATTCATTGTCGTGGGTGACGCCATGTCATGAGAGCCTCTCCTGAAACCTCAAACCTTGACCCCGAACACGACATGTGGAGGCCTTCAAACCTGACCCCGGACCCCAACTCCGAAAACATAGCCTAAATCCTGAGCCCCTCCAGCGCTTCTCTGAAGGACTATGGGATTCCCACTGGCATCCGAGTTTACACCGCGGTGGTCCGTCTGCTTCGAGCAGGCCGCTTTAGGGTTTAGGGCCTCGGCTCCAAAGCCTTCACCCAGAATTCTTCCGTTTACGGCCCTGACTGCGGAACGCAAACCGCACAAATCCCAGACCCTTACAAATCTTGTGAGTGCGAATCACACCCATCATCCTAAGACCTCAAATCCTATTCCCAACGGCTCCATGCACCCGTACAGATTTGGCCCTACAAAGGTATTTCGGGGCCAACGTAAATATTATTTGGAGACATGGGCCCTGAAACCCTCAACCCTTTTGTAGAACCCTTACCTTGGTGGCCGTTTCGGGGATGTTTTTGGTTATGTGGGGTTTCAGTACATGCAACCGCAACAGCAGCCTTCAGGTTCCAGGGGTCAGACCAGGCATCAATTCCAACCAGATGTTTCCAGTGGGAACGAAGAGGATCCGCACCTATGGCTGCCAACACTTGGGATGACTGGCACAGCCATCAATGATCCATGGGGAGAGCTGGAATACGGCCAATGCTACCTCGTCACAGATGGCCGCCTCCTCCTCGGCAAGTTCGCGGTGTGGAGAGATCCGGTAATGTCCGCGCAGGATGTGCAAGTCGCTCGGCGTGGTCAGACGGAGTGCGAACTCGCAGCAATTAGATGTCAAAGTGCTCAAGATGTAGTTGTCTTTCAATGTGCACCTGTTTGTGATGTGAGGTGTGGGAAGCCAGGCCTTTACCAGCCTGGGTCCACTACGTCCCCACCAATACTGTCATTTGTCCGGCAAGGGGACCGGGGTGTCTGGGGCTGTCCGGAGGCGACTACGACTTCGACAGCATCCATGCCTCCTCAGACCCTGATTTGATCGCCTTCTTGGAAAACACACCCGACGCCCATGGCTGGTTTGTTTCTGCGCGCGTTTGGAAGCAATACAAGTAGCGCAAATAAGTTGCTGCAACTTTGCCTTGCCCATGCATTTCCGACCCATTGACAGGTGACCCAGATCTTTCCTAGGCAAAAGAAAACGTGGAGGCACTTTTGAAAGAAGAAGTCGTGCTCCTCGAGACGGCCAAGCTGATGATTTTCTCAGCTTCATGCTCAGCGCCAGCACCCAAGAAATACGGGGCCTAGCCACGCAGAAGGGGCGCAGCTCGCAGCCTGGCTTGCGCCTTCTGGGGAGCGACAAGCCAAAGTCTTGCATGCGTACAGGCTGATTGAGGGTGCATACATCTGTTATGATACCCCCAAACAATTTCCTATGAAGGTCGTGCGGCGAGTCCTGGCGCGACTCCTGTCAGACGCAGGGCTTGCCCCCAACTCGGCCAAGATGACTGAGTACTTCAAGGCCAATTATTTCCACGTCGATTCCTTTGTGAACCGCAAGCGGCTGTGGGAATGCTTGAAAAACAGGCAAGTGCCAGCAGTTGAGCTTGGAAGGATTTGGTTGCCTCAAACCGCCTTCCAGCTTAGCGGAGATGCTGGCGCACTAGTCCGGAAGCATCTCACACAGGGGCAGCGGATGGATCACGACATGGTGGCGGGATGGTAGCAGGAGCACAAAAAACACCCTCACAAGATGTCTGTGGTCCCACCACCGACAACTTGGGGGGGCGCGGGATGTCCGTGCATGCTCCGACCGAGGCCCCAGCATTTATGCATAGATCCAGAACAATCCGCGGTCAGGTCGGTCAGACTGAGTAGTGGCTCCAGACAGGCTGCCAGGCTCCAACCTGTCAAGGCTCCAAGTTCAAGGCTCCCAGGCTCCGGGGCCCCCGCAAAACCTGCTAACTGTTACTCCTAAGCCTCGAGTCCGGCCTTTAATAGTCATGCAATTGCGACTGAACAAGACTCACTGCCAAACAACGCAGCTCCCTGGGCTGAGACTTGGGCCGTGGCATGACAATCACCATCGAGGCTGGGAAAAGGTTCATGGGCCCCAGCCAGTCTTCATCCATCAGGTTCCGAGGCCAGTTCAAGGTTCACGGCCCGCAGCATCATCATCCTTGTCATCGTCATCCTTCCAGATCCCTGACGACTTTTCTGGAGGGGCCAAGTTACAACACCCCTATGGAACGGCACCCTTTCAGGAACCCTTGAAGGAACCTTGTTGGGTACCTGGACCCTTAAAAAGAACCCCGGCCTTGGCCCGACAAAAACCCTCCGCAGGTGGCCGCTGGACTCACGCGCTGGCGTTGCTTCCACAGATGGCGGCCCCCCGGAACGGAAAAACGCATTAGGGCGTACATGGCCTTAGGACTTATAGAACGGAAGGGCTGGTGAGGGCTTGGGCTACGGAGCTTTAGGACGTATAGGTTTTATGGTGGTGGCTAGAGCCACAGCCCGAAGACAAGGTACACTGAAATTTCACATGTTGACTTTGTGATTATTCTTCAATCAAACCCTATAGATGACTGACAAGCTGTAAACTTATCCTTGGTCGTGCAGGGTTGGGTGCTGTCGTCCGCTGTCCGAGTGTTTCATGTCAGACTTCGACAGAATGCATTGTATATGTACCCAGCATGAAGTCAAGCTTATGGCGCAGGGAGGTATCTTGTGTCCCAGTGCCCCTCCTTGGTTACAGTTTCGGCATCCTACGCGGTGTTATCACACGGGCTGAAGCACTTTTGAGCGGATCTCGACATCTAGATCCGAAAGATCGGCGAAAACATAGCAGAGAGTCCGTGCCAGACCTGTAACCACGCATGGCCACGCCCTGAGTCGTGCATTCCCCCAGCAAGTCCCAAGCTATCAACCTACGCCGTGAAGCCTTAGACCTTGCCACCACCACCACCACCACCACCACCACCACCACCACCACCACCATGGAACCTATATCATTTCAGGCCCTAACGTGCGAAACTACTCTGAACGCTGAGTTTCTAAACCTTTTTGCGAAGGCCACACTCACGCTGCCGGATTTGATCTTCTGCAGCACAGCGATGAGCACCTGCGAGAGGGGGTCAGCCTGGGAGGCGCAAATAACAGAAATGAGGTGAACAATCGCTCCTGGAGTTGATCGTTAAGCATGAGTACCACGTTATCCTGACACCGACGTTGCAAGGGATATTGTGGCATAGATACGTCGCAAGACTGGTGAAAAAGAACGTGGGTCATGCTGTCTGGTGTGAAAACAGAGTCTCGGCATAAACTATCGGTGCATTTCACCTGGGATGGAGGAGTAAGAAGTGGTGAGACGGAAGAAACCTTTCGTGTGGGAGCATGCACGCAATACGTTTGCATCCGAGCTGGCATTTAGCTGGCTTGGCAGTTCTTGCACATTTTGTCAAGCTTTCCCGTTCACAGTCTCGACGCCAGAATGGCCAGGAGATGCATTGCAATTCCTTGAGCTATGCAATAATCCCTGATCAGGACAAGCATATGGTTAATGAGAGTTGTCTATTTCATGAAGATCGAGCTAGCTGGACTCCACATTGACGCGCATCAGCTCAGGTTTCCTGTGCGTTGCTTACACGGAGTAGTTTTCGTGCCTTGCATGCGCACCAACGAGTGGTGGATACATCACCTTTTCTCAATCTGGAGCTAGGAGCTTCTGATCATCAGTTTGTCTGCTCATGGGGAAACAGGATATTCAATCCTCGGTATTAAGGCACGCAGGTCTGTCTATCTGTCTGTTTGTTTCCTCTCTCATCCATCTATCTGTATATCAAGCTCTTTGTTTATCTGATTGTCTATATATCTAACTATCGTTCTGTTTACCTACCTATATTATCTATCGTTCTTTCTTTTGATTTTTTATGTTCCTCTATCTATCTATGTGTCTTTCTATCGATCTATTCCTGCCTGCCTGTCTGCCTGCCTGCCTCTTTGGCTGTCTGTCTGTATGTCTATGTACATGTACATGCACATCTACATGTACGTGTGTATGTATGCATGCATGTATGTATGGATGTATGTATGTACGTGTGTAACTGTGTGTAATACATACAGGCACACACCCGCAGGCACACCCGAAGCCCTGCACCCCGACTGCTGGGTTCATGCTGCTCCCGCAGGCCGCTTTGGCATTGCTGGAGGACACCACGAGGAACGAGCTGCAGGCACCGGGGTCACCGGAGTCTACTGCAACCTTAAGGGCTGTCACCAGGTTGCTGTGCTGTAAAGGTTGCTATACCGGTTGCTGGAAGGTTGCCGTAAGGCTAGAATCAGCGGCTAGAAGTGTTGCAGTATGGGTGAGGTTTCTATAAGGCTTCAGGATTTGTTGTTTGGGGTTTGAAAAGCTTCGGGTGAGTTCGTAGCCTGAGGGTTTTTGGTTTCGGGGGGAGGTGCCGTTGGAGTTTCTATCCGTTATTGGGGTTTGCATGTGTTTGTGCTTTGGGCGGGACGAAATATGATGTCTGACTCTTTGCTTGGATTCTCCGGCTTTGCAGAAGAGCTCACACCACGAAGATATCACTGGCTGAGAAAAGCAAAAATAGCAGTTGACTCACATTCCGTGGCCCTGAAAAGCTTGCACCAAACATGGGTTTACTTGACTCCACTGTGGCCTGCAGGTGGACGTGATTCTGTACAGCGCGGCCATCGGTGCATGCGAAGCTCGCCTCCAATTCAGCACAGACATACGCCCCAAAACCTTGCATGGACATATATGGATATGTGGAGATATGTAGAGAGAGAGAGAGAGAGAGAGAGAAAGAGAGTACGACTAAAACAAAGCGATAGATGGATCGCAAGAAACATCGTGTCAATAACGCGAACACGAACAACTGTAATCGTGATACTGGCACCGATCTGCAATGTAGGTTGCAGATGAGATTTGGTCAGAAGGCATAGTCAGTGTCTGCCGGATTCCTGTAGAAGGTGAACCCCAAAAGTATGTAGAATAACAGCCTCTTATAGGTCTTGGGCCATTATCTTACCTACTTTTGGGGGTCTAGGAAGAAGCCCCGAACACAGCGGCCTGCTGATTTGCATCTGGCTCCCTCAAGCGCTGGCTCCAGGCGATGCATGCAATCATTGCAAGCACTGCAACCACGAATCATAGAGGTGCCTGAATAAGTACCTACATTTGTTGGGGGGGGGGGGGTTCCTTATTCTGAATATAATATGATGGGCCCCAAAACCTTCTTCCGGGGGAAGGCCCCTATGGTACCAAACCGGAGCCTGGAGCCCGTTGTCCCCGTTCCCCCCCCACCCCACAAGTACATCGGGCAAGGCTGCACCCCCGAACCGGCAAAGCCCAAACGCAATGGCAAGTCTCGGAGGAGCAGAACTTGTATCGTGAAGCCTTTCTCCGTTCACGTTCCGCAAAGCCGCGAAGCCAGAGTTTGTTCATGCAACAAGGCCAAGGGTCAGCAGTGGCAGCCGTCCCTGGCGCTTCTGGATCATCTTCTGGACCCCGGTGAAGCGTCTAAACCCGAAACCCCTAAACCCCTGAACCCTAAACCCCTAAAGCCCTGCGAAAGTAAGTCGCGATAGCAGCAGTGCCATAGCCCCACAGAGCTGAGAGCCTCGAGCCACTCGAAATCAACCTAATTAGAGCCGCAAGCAAGCGGAAGGGAAGCCTTTGAGGGTTTAGGATTTAGGATTCTGTAGGGTTTAGGGTTTAGGATTTGGGATTCTGTAGGGTTCAGGATTTAGGATTTAATCGGGTTTAAGGTGTAAGGTTCAGGGTTTAGGGTAGAGAAAGACTCAGACGGAGAAAGGACATTGCAGGGAGCCTTCTTTGAGGTGTACCGCCATCCTGTGACTGACTGCAGAAGTCCGGTTTATGCTAAATTCCCACAAGGAAAAGGTATCCCAGCAGCAACCTCAACTTGGAACAGCCGCAGCACAAATTGGCATTTGACTGTTGGTTCCTGCGGCTCAGGCTTCAGGGTTCTGGGTTCTTCATTGGGGGGTAATATAGAGGCTCTAATAGTTGAAAGAACACAGCCCCAGAGACCCGACAGAGGAGGTTACAGAGGTTAGGTTGAGAGGCCCTGCTTTAATGCTTCAGGGGCCCAGGTTTCACTTGTGAAGTCAGACTACGAACGCCACTTTGGCTCAAGAAAAAGAAGGGCAATGCAGCTAGATGCCCTGGTTCTTTAGAGGGTTGGCCGGGTTTAAGTACCTTCCTTCCCTCTTGATTGGTTATCAGCCGTAGCTCTTTGTTTCCTTTGGTTTCCTACTTGAACCCGGCCGCAGGGTTTTAGTGGTTCTTCCCCCTGCCATAGCAAGAGCGCAGCCTTAGGCGCGCTGGTGGGCAGATTGCTAGTGGGGTGCTGCCTTGTGCGCACCGGCTAGCATATGCCACCAAAGGGCGAGGCACCTGCCGGAGACAAACCCTACAGAGGGGGCCGCGCAGGAGCGAAGAGGAGGAAGCTTCACTTTTACCAAGCGCAGGACGCTTTGATCCAACTTGCTGAGTCGGTACAGAACATAATCGTGCGCAGGCGGAACTTTGAAGACGTTACCGAGGCCCACTACGACACGATTATTAGGTTCGGCCAGATTACAGAACAGGTCGACGTATTCCACCCAGTGTGGGCAGACCTGGTCGAGTACTATCCTGAGTTGTGGACTGCTTTTTCGGACGTGACGGAAGAGCCTGCCACTGGGTCAGGAGCGCGTTGGAGGCCGAAAGCCGCAGCAAAGGCAGCTGGGTCGGGGGGTGCTGCTTCAAGCGCACCACAGGAGGAGGAGCAGCCAGCCGAGGAAGCGTCAGGCGCGCCCGCAGAGGGTGCAGCCCCTGGCGCACCGGCGCAGCCGCCCACACCTCCGAAGGCGCCGGCTCTTGGAATAAGGGGACCCACGCGGGACCTTTATTACAGGGGCCGGAGCGACCCACTGAGGCAGAGGAGGGTGCCAGCAGAGCCAGAACAGATCATTGAAGACACTGGCGCGAGAGCATCTTCCGAGCCACCGGCTGCCGAGGACGAGGTAGATCTGTCCAGAGCTGGCGGGAATCCGGCAGAAGATTCCCTGCGATCTGCCAGGCGCGTCCGCACCCCGCCGGCGCGGCGAGCGCAAGAGGAGGCACGCCTGGAGGAGCTTAGGCTCCGCGGCTCGGTGTTTGCCTCTTTTAGGGACGCCGAAGACGCGGAGCCCGAGCAGGCCGAGCAGGCAGAGCAGGCAGCCGGCCGGGAGGAGACCGAGGAGATAGAGGTAGAGGTCGAGGTTGCCCAAGGCGACGACGGGGGTGCTGCCGTAGGCGCACCGGACGACGAGCCCGCAACCGAAGGCCGACAGGCAGAAGGCGCCGAGGAGGAAGAGGCAGCAGAGGAGGACGAGGCAATAGACGTGCCCCCTGCCTCGGAGGCAACAGTTTCTCCAGCCCCCTCGGAAGCCGCAGCCCCGATCAGAGAAGTGCGCGTGAGTGTGGGCCGCGGCCGGGGTGTGACCCGAAGGCCGCTTATCCTGGCACCCGCCACCGAGACTTTCCCCACAGTTCGGGTTGATAGTCAGGGTGCTTGGGTTAGGGTTAGGGATCCTAGTGCAGTTCCCTCCTTTCAGCGTCGTGCCGTGCCCCCCCCGAGGGTGCAGCGCACCGCGCACCAAGGGGACGCAGAAGAAGCACTTAGTGCACCTGATCCGTTTGATTTGCCCAACGACGCGTGGATCGACCCACATTCTTACCGGGAGGCCTATACAGCTAGTGGGGTTCCTAGGGGTGTGTCCGTAGCGCGCATAGACACCAGCTCAGAAGAGGAAGGTAGGCAGCGGGGTGCTGCCTCAGGCGCACCGGCAACACCCAGGGCACCACCACAGAGAAGGCCGTTCCGACAGGGTGAGATCGTGGAGGCTGAGGTGGAAGAGACAGCGACCTTGAGACGGCGACCCGCGACTCCGGAGGGAGAGCCTCCAACGAGGCGCCCCCGCGTTGTCTTGACCCCAGCGTCCAAGGCATCAAGCGTCCCCGCCACAGCCAGCGCACCGTTGAGGGTGACGCGCCCGCCTCCAAAGGCCAGGCCCAGGACCGCAGGCGAAGGCACAAGCACAGGCACAGGTCAGGCCAAGAGAGGTGCAAAGGCAGAGCCCATAGAAGCCGTCGAGGAAGCAGGGCCCAGAGAGCGCACAAGGACCCCGCGCCGACCAGAAGCAGCTCCCCCAAAGGGTGCTGCCCAGGCGCACCGGGGTCGAGGGCGCAGCGGGTCCTGGCCGCCCAAGCGGCAAGCATCTTCTTCACCAGAGGGTGCGGTTTCTGAGGGTGACTCCCCAAGGTCACGTGCACCGGCGACCAGGGAGAGCCTGCCAAAGGCGCGGCAGTCGCAGCCAAAGCTGCCCTCGAAGGTGCCACCCACAGATAGGCACGGGGTAAAGTATAAGTCCCCTCCTGTGCCGGCGCCACCCGCGCCAAAGGGGGCGGCAGCACAGGCGGTGTTCAAGGGCCCGCCGCACGCTGTGTTTGTGGCTAGCATCACTAGAGGTGGCCAGGAGCAGCCCAAAGCAACTTCCAAGGCTCCGCCGCCGATTGTCACCGGCAACCGCCAGAAGCTAGCTTATCACGCGTGGGCACAGCAGGCTAGAGACGAGGAGAACGCCCAGGCCGCAGCTTCAAGCGCGGCAGCTGCCAGTGCTTCCTCGCAAAGGGTGCTTGCTTCGCGCACCGAGGCCACGATTGTCTTCGACTGGCACCACGTCTTAGACAAGGCCTGGATCGAGTCCACAGGAGCTACCTGGGAGACCCGCCGTGGCTCCCACGGATATTTCAACCTTGAGTTTGTGGACGCGCTCAAAGCATTCTGCGAGGAGCATAAGCCACTCCGATTGGCAATTTTGAGCTATAGCACACCCTCTTCAGCGGCGTGGTATCGTCATCATTTCCTCGAAGAGGCCCTAGAGTGCTTGCGTTTGGTGTTGCCGCTGAGCATCAACCTCAGCATCGGCCAAACATATCAGCGCACTGGCCCCGACGGGAAGGCACAACAGTTGTGCCAGATAGAGCCGCCAGCAAGTCTCATTATTGACGACAATCGCGGCATTATAAAAGAGTGCGCGAAGACAGGCGCGCTCACTGTGCAGGCGCAGAAGGGTGGCGGCGTCGACCAGCTGATCTTCGAGCTCAACCAGGCAAGCGCGTTGATCAAGCGAACGGGGCGCAACAACCTCCCAAAGGCTCGCCACCTGGAGCCCCGCGAGCTCCTTTACGAGAGGTAGCGCCCTAGGGTGCTGCCATTGGCGCACCGGGCCGGCTCACCCAGCCTGCGTGTCGCCACCGCCTGCTCCTCTCGCGGCGCCCTAGGGTGCTGCTCCAAGCGCACCGGGCCACCTTAGTGGTTTAGTGCCTTGGGTTTTTGTAGCATAGGGGTCGCAAACGTCAGCCCCATCCTCTCGGGCCGCCGCCGCCGCACGACACCATCCCTTGCAGCGCCCTAGGGTGCTGCCTGTGGCGCACCGGGCCGGGTAACAGGTCTAGGGTGCATTTGGGTTCTAGTGCTGGGTGGTGGTCCCTAGAGACAGTGTATCATACTTTTGCCTTTGTGTGTGTGCTGCCTTTTGCGCACAGCCGTCGGCACACACCTTCTTTCAAGACACTTGGTCCCCGAACGGGCCGACCATCGCGAGCATCAGTCACAAAAGTCTTTTCGAGAGTGGTTGCGTGAGGGGTCCTGTTTTCTTGCCCCCTCCCCTTTTGCCCTAAGGTTCTTTTGGGGATTCTTTCGGGTCCCGGCCGATAGGCGGTTTTCGTAGACAGGGTGTTGTTTGGGCTCAAAGGCTCAAGCTTCAGGAGGTGAAGCCATGTCAGGCATCTCCCCACCATCAGAAGACCGAAGCCGAAGCCGAGCATCCGGGGAATCCTCCTTTAGCGACCCAGAGCTTTTTAGCGGCCAGGCCTTGGTGCCAGCTGCGGCAACCATTCTTAGGATTAACCAGCCTACCCCCGCACCACAAAGGAGTGAAGGGTATAGCTCGTCCTCCGCGGCGTCTCCCCCACAAAGGGGTCCCGAACTTAGCGCAACACAAGCCACCTTTATTGCAGGTGCCGCCGTGACACACGCCCACCACGCCTCCGGCGTTGCCTTGGGTGCTGCGTCCCTCGCGCACCAGGCTGCAGAAAGGGAACAGCAAACAGTTGCTCAAGCAAGGGAGGCTGTAATGCAAGCAGGCTTCCAAGCTGCAGCGGCCGAGGCACAGTACCGCGACGAGGCCCAGTCGATCGCACGAGCTGCGCAGGGTATCGTGGATGATGCTAGGTTTCGAGAAGCCAGCCTTAGGCAAGAAGCCCAATCTGCCATTGACGCCACCAATCGTGAGGCTCAACAACGGGTCTCGGTGATTCAAGGTGAGGCCCAGCAAGCCATAGCCCAAAGCAACCATTCAGCCCAAGCTAGGATCAGGTTAGTTGAGGGTGAGGCCCGGGGTTTATCAGAAGCTCTTCGGCAAGCCACTTTGGCACGAGAGCAGGCTGAGGT